GCGCGCGCACCGCAGAAATCGTAAAAAGTCCCCAGTTTTTGAACCTCGACCACGCGAATCTCCGCAGAGGGTCGCGCGCGGCCAGCAGAAAAAAAGTCCCCAGTTTTTGAACTCGACCACGCGAAAGAGGGTCGCGCACCCAGAAATCGTAAAAAGTCCCCAGTTTTTGAACCTCGACCACGCGAATCTCCGCAGAGGGTCGCGCGCGGCCAGCAGAAACCGTAAAAAACTCCCAGTTTTTGAACCTTGACCACGCGAATCTCCGCAGAGGGTCGCGCGCGCGCACCGCAGAAACCGTAAAATGTCCCCAGTTTTTGAACCTCGACCACGCGAATCTCCGCAGAGGGTCGCGCGCGCACCGCAGAAATCGTAAAAAGTCCCAGTTTTTGAACCTCGACCACGCGAATCTCCGCAGAGGGTCGCAATCCCGAGCGACGATCAAACTCCCGCCCCGGCGCCTTAGAAACCTAAACTAACTTACATAGCTGCTAACGCCGAAGCTCTAAGCTCTACCTAACCTTGGCTCTATGTAACTTGGCTCTATGTAACTTGGCTCTATGTAACTTGGCTCTATGTAACTTGGCTCTATGTAACTTGGCTCTATGTAACTTGGCTCTATGTAACTTGGCTCTATGTAACTTGGCTCTATGTAACTTGGCTCTATGTAACTTGGCTCTATGTAACTTGGCTCTATGTAACTTGGCTCTATGTAACTTGGCTCTATGTAACTTGGCTCTATGTAACTTGGCTCTATGTAACTTGGCTCTATGTAACTTGGCTCTATGTAACTTGGCTCTATGTAACTTGGCTCTATGTAACTTGGCTCTATGTAACTTGGCTCTATGTAACTTGGCTCTATGTAACTTGGCTCTATGTAACTTGGCTCTATGTAACTTGGCTCTATGTAACTTGGCTCTATGTAACTTGGCTCTATGTAACTTGGCTCTATGTAACTTGGCTCTATGTAACTTGGCTCTATGTAACTTGGCTCTATGTAACTTGGCTCTATGTAACTTGGCTCTATGTAACTTGGCTCTATGTAACTTGGCTCTATGTAACTTGGCTCTATGTAACTTGGCTCTATGTAACTTGGCTCTATGTAACTTGTCCAAGGGCTCCGCACGGAAGAACCCTTCGCGATGCTTTCGGGAAAAAAAGCAGCTTTTGCATCCCCCGCTTCACCAGCATCATCCTGCAGGTGCCCGGGGTGATGCTTTGCATGTTGGGGATGCAGGAGCTGCCTTTTTGGTCTTCGAATGTCGGGAAATAAGGCAGCTTTTGTATCCCCCACTTCACCTGCATCATCCTGCAGGTGTTTGGGGTGATGCTTTGCATGCTGGGGATGCGGGAGCTGCCTTTTTGGTCTGGGAAAGTTGTGAAAAATGGATGCTGGAGCTGCCTTTTTGGTCTTCGAAAATTGGGTGATAATGATGATGAGGATGATGACGATGATGCTGCTGATGCTGATGAATGAGGATGATGCATCATCATCATCGTCATCATCCACCATGTCGTCATCATCATCCATCATCATCCTCATTATCATCATCGGTATCATCATCATCCTCATCCTCATCATCCAGCATCATCATCATCGTCATCCTCATCCTAATCATCATGCAGCAGCCTCATCATCATCCTCCTCATCATCCTCCTGATCATCATCATCATCGTCACCATCATCATCAGCGGCGTCATCATCATGATCATCATCGGCATCATCATCATCATCATCATTCTTCATCATCTTTCATCATCCTCATCATCCTCAGCAGCATCATCATCATCATCATAATCCGTCATCGCCATCATCGTCATCATCCTGAGCATCATCAGCATCAGAATAATCATCATGATTAGCACCATTATCATTCATCATCAATATCATCGCCATCATTATCATCGTCATCATCATCACCATCACCGTCATCATCATCATCTTTCATCATCATCATCATGATCATCATCATCATCCATCATCACCAACGCCACTATCATTATCTTTCATCATCTTTCATCATCATCATCTTTCATCATCTTTCATCATCATCATCATCATCATGCTCATTCATCATCCTGAGCATCATCATCAGTATCAGCATAATCATCATTGTCATCATCATCATCATCATCATCATTCATCATCACTATCATCACCTTTAACATCATCATCAGCATCATCCACATCATCTATCATGATCATCATCGATCATCATCATTCATCATCATTATCATCACCATCATGATCATCATCATCGATCATCGTCGTCATCATCATCATCGTCATCATCCTGAGCATCATCAGCATCATCATCATTAACATCATCATCATTCATCAACATTATCATTGCCATCATCATCACCACCACCGTCATCATCATCATCATCATCATCATCATCATCATCATCATCATCATCATCCATCATCATCGGCATCATCATCCTCCTCCATCGTCATCATCATCATCATCATCATCATCATCATCATCATCATCATTATCGACATCGCCATCATCACCATCATCGTCATCGTCTTCGTCATCATCAGGGTTGGAGGTTAGGGTTAGAGGGTCAGGTTAAAGGACCGTTCGTACCGTTTTTACCGCCCCGCAAGTCTTCCGTCATCTTCCCGCAGTCTTCCGTCATCTTCCATCCTCACGGTTAGAGGTTAAGGTTAGAGGTTAGGGTTGGGAGCCCAAAAAAGAAAAAGAGCGAACAACACATTTCTTCCCTCTCTACTTGACTGCTCTTGGGTTGGATCTTTAGACTTTTACTTTTTGGGAAATAATGGTGTTTTCCACTAAACAGCCAAAAAGTTAAACTTTTCGCAGGGGGGTCACCACCAACCAAGTGCAGATGTGGCTGTTTTTTCCTCTCGCCCCAGCAAAAAAAGTCTCTCGCTTTTTCCGCGTTTTTTTGGCTGAGGAAACCCAGGGGAGATCTCGGGAACCTTAGGGGCGCCCTAGCACAAAACGTCCCGCCTTCTATTTGCTTAAGACATTTTTTCCCTCTCGGATTTAAAGGGAATCTATCACTACTGGATTTGTTTCTGTCTTTTTTTTCTCCAGGGGACGAAAAAGCAAATGGAAGCCGCAGTTTCTTCCAGCGGAGGCTTTTTCCGTTCACGTTGGCCGTCGAAAACCCGGAGGGCTCGCCAGGTTCTCCCTGGACTGCTGGCACTTGAGCTGCCGGCAGCAGATTTCGCACATGTTCGCAACCTATGCTCAAGCGGCCAGCGGCCACTGCTGCTCAGGCGGCTGCGCGGGCGACCTTTGCTTTCAAGGGCGCTGGTATGAAGCACAGGCAACGCAGTATCTCCGGATCGGTGTGTCAAAGCTTGGCCTGGCAGTCTTCTTTTGGAGGTGTTGGCCTTGCTCAGCCGCCTTCCCCTTTCCAGAATTGGGGCCATTCCAAGAGATGCGCTGCTTCGCTGGGCGCCTGCAGAGGATGATGACTGGTGGCGAAAGGCAAAGGACAGCTAATGGGGACTCCAAGTCGGCGGAGTGTGCAGTCGTTTCGGGGAGTTTTCCCGAAAGCATTGCGAAGGGTTCTTCCGCGGAGCTCTTGGTCAACTTGCGCAGAGTAGCTTGCACAGAGTCACCAGCATGGAGATACCAGGAGCTCTTGGTCAACTTGCCCAGAGTAGCTTGCACAGAGTCACCAGCATGGAGATACCAGCACGGAGATACTCGCGCAGAGTTACTAGCGTGCAAGTTTTCCCAAGTTTGGCCCCTTCAGGCAACCCACAAGCTGAAAATGAATACGAATCGGGCTGGACTTCCATGCTGGCCTTCAAGCCGAAAACCGACATCAACGGCCAGAAGATCGATGGGGCCATCAATGCTGGAAACTAACAACCTTCCAATCGCATTGCAGGGCGGGCGGTTGTTTGGCTCCTGGGGGTGCCCCAGTAGATAAACTGGAGCTTCACATCTTTGCTGAGGCCAAGCCGCGTCAAGAAAGAAACTATCTGACAGCGGTTGCTTTTGTATGCCGGTGCAGATCACCAGGAGCACAGACGGCTCCTCAACGCAAAGCTTGGGCCCAAGAGTGCAAAATACGATCCGAATAGGATGATGCTGTTTGCGTTCTTCGTTGACAGCCGGTTGGTGAAGCCCACCTTGCATGTTGAGGCACGCTACAGCAGCCTGTGCGCAAGGGGGAGACGGTCCCTTGCGTGTCCTGATGGCTGTCAAAGCAGCAGCCCAGTCGGCAAAGCCACGACGCCGCGCAGAAGACGCGGACAGAGCGGATGGGGGCTTTTTCGTCCGACCCCGGCGCCCCCAACATTCCCGGAATGTTGCGCAGAAGTTGGAGCACAAGCTGGCCAGCCCCACAAGACAAAACGAGCAAGAAGCCTCCCTTCCAAAAAGTCCGACTCGAACTGGCCCAAGCAAACAAGCGCTCTTGGCTTCCAAGCTTCTGCTGTGAACGACGGCCAGAATGAGCGATATTATTCTGCTGGTCGTCAATTGGGGCATCTGCGCCGTGAGGGTCACGTGTCCGTGTTTAGCAACACTTTCTCCTTTCATTCTTTCCTGTTCTTTCTTTTTTGGTTTCCCTTAACAATTCTAATCTTTCAACGTGCCATGGACATAAGGAATTGGCTGGGAACCCTAAGCCCCCAACAAACAGGTTGCAATACCGACCCTGCGGTTGATCCAGGATAAATCAACCCTAAACCCTAAAAACGGGGCCGGTTGGCCCCAAAAGTGATCCGGACTCTCAGCAAGAGAGTTGGGCTCCCTGTTAATCAGCCAGTGGTGTAGTTTCCCCCCTTTCCACTAACATGGAACCCACCAGTCTTCCAGGACCCCTCAGTCCGGTTCCATGTCAGTGAGCAGGCGTGGACAGCGGGCAGTCAACTCGGGCTTCTACTTTTTGCCATGTTGCTTGTGTTACTGGGAAGTATTCTCTTTTAACCACGGGACAAACACGCCACCATTTTGAGTTGGGCTCCCTCTTTGGGCTCCATGGGTCAAAGGCAGAAACGGGCCAAGGCGTGCTGTGCAAGCCCCCGAGTCTGGCCTGCCGCCTCTCCAAGCCCCGGCCCTCGGCGGCTTCTTTATTTTGGTTCCGGGGAGAAGGGAGGGAGGGCTGGGCCAAGTGAGCAAAAATGTTTGGCATGGATTTTCATTGGGGGCGGTCCTTTGGTGGACATGATTTTGGTGGCTTTCATTGGGGGGGCTTCCTTTGGTGGACCTCATTTTTCGGTGTTCTCCTGTCCACCGGCCACTTTTAGGGGGTCCATTTAAAATCATAGCCATTTGCGGTCCTTTCGATGGGTGAGCAGGCAAAGTCCTTTCGATGGTCAACTGTTGCTTCACCATGGATGCGTGACAGAATCTTGAGCTCCTGGAGGCAAGGTCGTTCTGGAGGACTTCTCCGTGCACACGAGTTGGACGTGGCCGAGGGACAAAGCTGAGCAGCTGATGCAGCGTTTCGCTGCGGGAGAGGCGCAGTTGCTGGCTGCTCAAGCACCAGTCAAGGTATTCATGGCAGACGGAGAGATGCCGAGCCGCTGGCAGCGCGAGTAGCAAAGGAACAAGGGTACATCCCATCCTTCAGCTCCCTCATGCCACGTGCCGCCAATCATCCGTGCTTAGGCTGCCCAGATCCATCCTTGAAAGGCTCACAAGGAGTTCGGTTGAATTAGGCTTGACATGTGTCCCAGTCTTGGGAGAGCAGCCTTTCTCTTTTGAATTTGTTGAAAGTGCTTGAAAGTTTCAATTCGTGTTTGGCTGTTTCTGAGCATTTTTTACATCTACCAGGGCTTTCGAGCTTGCAGGCCATTTTTTTGGGCCTCCCATGATTGTCCCACTCGTTCCACACAAGCTTCCCATAAGTTGCCTGTATGGCACAGAACATTTACATTGACAACCCAGAAAGGGCTGTCCCAACACGAGATTTCTTCTACAAAGGGTTGCATCTTGGCAGATTTGGTCACCCTAAGTTCCGGGTCTGCCAGGGAAACATATGCCCCTTGTCCTTCAAATCTGATGTTTTCGCCCGCTTTCAAGGCTCAAAGTGAGTTTCAGGGCTCCCCCACTTGCCCTCTAACATGGATCCTGACTGGGAGGAAGGTCCTCGTTTGGACTATGCTCCTCTGAAGGAAACATCAGGCGTCATAGATGTCCGTCTGATCGGTTAGTTTTCTTAGAATTAGATGGGCTCCACTAGTTTAGCTTACCAGGGAAAGCCCATCGATTTCTAGCCAACACGGTGACCTGTGGCCCAGAGGGTTTGGAACCCAGTGTTGTTCCAGACAGGTTTGTCGTGGGTTCTTCACTTCTGCCAGGACTCGCCTCCTTTGGTGAGATAGGCAGAGAATGTGGGAATGAATTCAGGGGTCCCCTTAAAGGAAGCCATCAGTTGGATGGGCCAAATCTCGGGGTCATTCCATGTCTCATTCCCATCTCACACCGATCGCAAGTTCTTTTGTCTGGGTTTCCAAGGAATATGAAGCTCCAGAGCCCGGTCATCGCGAATTCCGAGGAGGGCTGGGGAGCCCAGATGCCCTTGCAAGCTGGGCGCAGTCCGTTTTCCAAGCAAGAAAACGACGAAGGGCCGTTTCCGTTTTTGGAGGGAGCCCCAAAATGGTGGCTTTTTCCTGTTGGCTTCCCTTTAAACCAACCCCAAAAAGCCAAAAAGGGAAGGCTTTAGCAAAGAAAAATGGGAACCCTCACGGACACTCTCCTCAAAGGATCCTGGGAGTGGAGCACAGGCCGGTTTGACACGGAAAATCAAGAGCAGCCTACGCAGGCAGGAAGTCGAGGAGTACGGCCAGTGCTTAAACTAGAGCTTCGCAACATGCAGATAGCCAGTCGACCTTTCGTAAGCCCTTGTTCAGGGTTTCTTCTAATGTGCGGAAGAGGTGAATGGAGAGGCAAAGACCACTGGTCGGCATTGCTTCACGTTAGCAGACCATGGACCCGGTCAATTGCTTACCCCAAAAATCACGGAAGTGGAGGTTTTGGGGCTCAGGAGCCTCTCGTCAGCTTCCATTGGGGATGGTGGAGATGTGCCAAGGCCCCCCCCTGATGTAGCCAATCTCTTACCAGGATGGCCAGGTCCCGTATGGTGGCCGGCAAGGCCCCAAGTCGGGTCAAGAGTGGACATACTAAGAGGTCCTTACCCCCCCCCCCAATCAGATTTTGATGAGAAACTTGTGGTCTGGCAATTCCCAGCAACAGCGGGTGTGACTCCAATTTGTTTCCAGAGCTAGTCTTGTCTTTCTCATTTACCTTGTGACACGAGGGTTCCATTTTTTGAGCCAAGTGATCGCTTGCCTCATGATCTTTTTCTTGGTTTCATACCCAAAAGATGCGAAGTTCGGTAAAAAAGGACACGATGCTGAGGCATGTGCATGGGCATGGCGCTCTGCGGGGGCCTGGGCATCATCCACAGGCAACGGCATCGGACGGAATCGGACTGGGAGGGGAGCTGTTGGGTGTTCTTTGGTTTCAACTTTGGTCTTTAGCTGTTTGTAGTTTGCAAAAGTTGGAATTTCCACTAACCCACGAAAAGTTACACTTGAAGTAGGGGATCTGAGGACAGCCCAGTTTAGACCTAGCCAAGCAAGAATAACAGACGCGCCCATTTGTTTTCTGAGGCACCCGTGGAGTTCTTTTTTTCTCCGGTGAGCCAAAGGGACACCATCCCGACAAAGCCATTTGTTTCTTTCGGATGTGACACAGGAAGCGTCCGAGAACCTGGGAACATGCAACCAAAGGTGTTTGTCTCGTCGATATTCGGCCAGCAAGGTGGAGTTCCCAAATCGAAGACAACAATCCAATGAGATGATGTGGAACTGGGGTTACCAATCCAAGCCACCAATTGAGGGGTCAGCCACGCTGGTGTCCTTCCGTTTCTCTTTCATAGCTTGCGGATCTGCCGGAGTGTCATGTTGTGAGCTCACGGGCAACAAGGACGCTTTTAGGATGCATGAGCCCTTTCAGTGGGCGGGGGTGGGGTGGTGGGGGTGGATTTTAGCATTAGAAATCGTGTACATAGGTGAAATAACACTTAAAACAACCCTTAAAAGGGGGGGGGTCCTGTGCTTGACACACAGGTTGCAGATCCATGTTGAGTTAGACTCACTGGTTGGCTGATTTCCAAAAGAACCTCCACTCTTGGAAGGCAGTTCGGAACAAGCCGCCCGCTCCAGAAATATGTTTTAGATTTGTTGGTTTAGTGGTTGGGTTTCCATTTAGCCCATAAGCTAAGCTTTTAGCAGGGGATCTGACAGCCCAGTCTTGGACAGTCTTAAAGTGACAGTTGCCAAGAGGCCAGCAAAAACAACGGCAGCTTTCTGCAGCAAAAACAACATAGCCATGACTTGGTGATATCCGGATGAATTGGATCAGTCTTCCCCGCTCTTGTCGGACATTATCTTCGTGTGGTGGCCCCAAGCCCCTGATCTCTACGTCAAATAGTCCATCAAGAAACCAGTGCCAGGTGCTCTGGAATGTGTGCAGGTGCACGCGCAAACCAAAGCCAAGTGTGCTGTTTTCCTGCTCGTTTCAAAGGGCGACTGCGTGCTCAACCTGTAGATTCTGGCTAACCCTCAACCCGTAGATTCTGGCTAACCTGCATCCCTGTTGAAGAATGTCTCCAGGAACACACAGGTGTGAAATGCATATTTATTTATATATATATATATACACATGCGTATACATATATACTTATTGTTCTGACCTTTCTCTCTACAATTCTTGGGGCTGGGGTTGCTATCAGGCTGGTGCATGATTTATTGCGAGAAACAACCAGCCGTGAATGTGATCATCTCTGGGCACATCTGGCCAAACCAAACCTCACACCGGGAAACCGGGTGCAGCTCGCCAATCTTGGGGCGTTTTTGTTGGGGGTTTGGAGCTTTCTAACTCGGGGACTGAGGATGATTAGTTTTTGATACCGAAGGGAACCCAAGACGCCATATGGGCGGCTCGTGCGGTTTTTTTGGGAATCGGACCGGGACCCCGAAATGACTCAACGGGTTCGGGCTTCCCACTACACGAACCCCAGAAAAGTGTAGACATGCCCATATCTCTTTCATGAGGAATCTCCTCCTTTTTTGGTGAAAGGACCTCCTTCTCGGGTTCCATGTCAATTCGCACACACACACACACAGAGACATAGACACACACACACACAGACACAAACACACAGACACAGACGCAGAGATGCAGAGACACACAGACAGAGACACACAGAGACACACACACACACACATACATTTTTCCATGCATCCTGACTCTCTGGAGGACCCCGAAAACAAGGGCGGGTTCCACGGTAGCTTTCACGCAGGCTTGGCTCGCCATCTCAGCCAAACAGCTGATTGATCTATCACGTGTGAGTTGCAGAAGGCACACAGCAAGTTGGGGAAGACAAACCAAGAAACAGCTGCAAGCCTGATTGAACATCGTAGTTCACCTGCACACACACACACACACGATTTGAGCCGCAGCATCATCCCAAAGCCTTTGCCGGACATGCCAGGCACCTGCCCATCCGGGAGCAGGCGAAGAAGGTTCAGAGGCGACTTTTACCTTGAATCAACGGAGAGGTGTCGTCTTTTCTCCAGAAAGTTCGTCCACAACTGAGTTGCTTGGTGGGGTTGCAGGATCTTGTCTTGGGTGAAAGGAAGGTGTGTGGCTAGTCTACCACAAACACGGGTTGGTGCGCAGCCTTTGCCGCTGTCCAAAGGCATAGGCTTGATCCTGTTGTCGGATCGGGTCACACAGCCAGGGGCTGTCATTGGAGTTTGATATTCTGCAACTGCCAAATCTAAATTGAAAAGGGTTGCTCTCTAAAAATGAGCCAGTTTCTCAGCTGCACTTTGCCCGGCTGAACCGCCGTACAGACGTGTTGGAAACAGACGGTTTCCCTAAATAGACAGTGGACGCACATTTTACATAGTTGTACACATGTATCCATACGCATACATAGTTGCACGTACATTGTTTATTTCATTTATGTATTCATGCCTTAATGTATTCACGTATTCAAGACATGTTTGATCAACTTCTTCAAGTTTGCTGCTATTCTTGTCATTGGCTTGTTTGTTAGTTTGTTCATAACTCACAACCTTGCCGGTAATCCCAATGAAGACACAGCAGGGTGTGTGTTTTTTTTGGTAGAGGGACCCCCACAACAGATTTCGGTGTTCCTTGTGGTTTCCCTGGAACACCAGCCTAAGGAGGGTTGCCAAAAAGACTGGTCATTATTTTGACCGTTTCTCGGGGTTATCAGAGTCAGAAAATGTGGTTGTTTCTCTTTAACCCACCACTTAGGGGGTGACGTTGATCACGGTAAAATACTGAGGCCAGAAAGAGACAAACCCAGCGGCCTGCAGGGTGAAGATGTATAACTCCGGCTTCATCCTGAACCCCGCGTGTTTGGCACCGCGGCACCTGGTGGAGGATGCCCTCCGCATCCAGGCGATTTGGAAGTCGCGCCGGATGGGTTGAGAGCCCAAAGATAGGATCAAACCATAGAAGCTTATCTTGGCTTCCTTTTGACTTTTACTCTCCCTTTTTCATGACCGGACCCCACATTTCAATTGTTTGACAGGGTCCTTGGAGCAACCCCTGTACAAGACCCGAAAAACACACATATATCTAATCTTGTGACAGGGTCTTTCTCCTGAACACTGTGCCGGGGAAATGAACAAGCCTCATGATCAATGCTTGGCTATGTGCGAAGGCGGTGCTTTCGCAGTTGGCTTCAATAGAGCAATTAGGTGTGTCAGTTTTTAGGGCACCCCTCCAAAATGGCTGAGGTTTTCCCTGGTGGTTTCCTTTACGACCACACAAAAGGTACCAACTCCAAAACCAACGAGGGTAAAGCTGAAATTAGGGCTCCTCATTTGTGGTTTCGCAGAACCTTGAACAGAAAACTGACCACCTGACCGCTGAGCAAAGCAGGCGGAGCTTGGCTGCAGCGGCATCCCCATCACAGAGAATGGCTGGAATCCTCAGCACTCAGCTGGCGAGTTCAGGGCCGCAGCTCACAAAAGAATGGCTCGTCTGTTGTAGGGGACACACCAAAATGGTGGTCTTCCTTTTGGCGTCCCTTTAAAACCACAAACAAAAAGTATGAGCTCCAAAACAAGACACCCCCAAAAGAGGTGCCCTTGCAGAGTTGTCCTTTTTGGGTTAGTTTGGTGAGAAATAGATCGGTTCCACTGGTTTAGATATCGTTTAGATATCTAAAGCGTTTCCCAGAAACACCCATCGACCACGAGGAACCCCAAAACTTAACCTCGAGGCTTGAACTGGTTGTTTTCAGCTTTAATGCCGAACTTTTGTGTTGGAACCCCCCTTTTGGGTCTGTTAGTCAGGGTCCCAAAAGCTTAAGCTTGTATTCGCAGACCCACTCGAGCCAGCATCGCGGCGCAACCCTAGGCACGCTTTGGCCAGCGTGTTTTTTCCTGCGGCCGAGTTGCGTGTCAACCAAAAGGGCCCTTGTGACTCACTCTTGGCACGCAGCCTTTGGATGTTCCTTTTCATGGCTCAGCGTCGTCCTCACTTAATCGAGGTAAACCTGCGAGGCTTAGAACGACGGCTTGGCGGAATCGCGGGCGTCCCACTTTTTAGGGAACGCGTCCATTTCGCGGTTGCAGCGTCAGCGACAAACAAGTAGGGGGTATGTAGATCATATAAGAAAGGGGCAGTAGTGGCGCCTGTTCGCATGGCCCACACGACTTTGATTAGGTGGGGAAGCACCTTCGACAAGCATGTTCCAATGGGGTCCCTTAAAAACGGTCAATGTGTTCTTGTTTTCCACTTGACGAAGGCCGGACTACTCCATATCCATTTCAAACTGGGGACAAGCACACATAATTGAGGTATGCAGGGGATCATATATCGATCCTGGGTCCCCCAGTAGCGCCCTTTTGCCCTTTTTTGGCGGAGGGTTCCCCTACTAAAATAGACTACAGAAAAAAATGGTACCCTTATTCTATCCTCTCCACTCTCCGCTCACTGCAGGACCTAGGATCCTATATTTATATACTTTCTTTTTTAAACAGTCATATATATATATATATATGCGCACCACCAAGCCCGGCGATCTGTCCCAGGCCGCATGGGCGGGCGCCTGGTGGGCCTGGTGACCAAGCGGGACCTCGAGGGCAAGCCCAGGCGCGCACAGAACGATTGTCGGGTGAGGCTCCGAGGATTTTGGTGAGCAGAGCCTACAAAACAAGGAGCAACAAAAACTTTGGTGCATTTTGCTGGGATGTTAGGACTTTGAACTTTTTGCCAACTAATGGGCTTTCCCATTGAACCACTAAAAGTTAAACTTTTAGCAGGGGAGCAGAAAGCAACCGAGAAAACCCGTGTTTTGTTGGTTGGGTGAGGTTTCTGTCTAAGAACCAGGAGGTGTTGGCAGGACGACCAGGAAAAGTAACTTTTCATTGTTTGTTCTGGTTGGGTGGGTTTCCTTCTGTCCAACAAAGCGGGCAAAATCTTGGGGTTCCTACGGGAAACTTCCTGGATATTGGCCGAGAGTTTTGGGTGATTCACGCCATTGCCCCCAGGACGGGCGAAACTGCAAGCATTTTGAAATGAGTTTTTTTCCCAGCAGTCTGGGAGTTTGGGAGGCACGTCGAACAACTCTCATGTTGCACAACCGGACAAACACCTGACCACCGTCTAATGTTGTCATTTCATTGAGCAACAGTAAAATATTTGGGCAGGAAGTCCAAGTGTGAGCACCGACCATGGGTATTGATTCGCACAACTGGCCTCCACAATTCCCTCAGTGTCAAGGAAGCCCACCTGGATTTCCCTCCCAGTGAACCCTGTCTGCTCCTCTGGTTTGATTCTCTGATCAAATTCACAAAGCATGAGAGCTGCGAAAAAATACACAAACAACACAATTTCCTGGACATCGTTTTTGCTTTTTCTTTCTCAGTGTGTGTTTGGTTGGTCTGCATTTGTAGTGCGCCTTCCTTGCCATGTCCGTTGGGAAGAGGCTTTGCACAGCCATTTGAGTGTCGCCTGGCTGTCCACATCGCGACTTGGAATGACCAAGGTTTGCCCCTTCCTTGTCAGCAGATCATATCGCATGTTAAGCCTTGTTCATCACCTTCTGTGTTTGAGCAGGGTATTCATTAATATTCTTCATCTTCCAATCTGTTGAGCTTGGCACATTGACTAAACATTTTGTTTCTCTCTAGTCAAGGTCCAAAATCATTTCTTGGGCCACCACGGCGGGTTGCGCATTGTGCCGTCAGAACCGCATCCCTGGGCGCCGTCATGAACCGGGACGTGGCCCGGGGGCCCTCGAGAGGAGTGCAATTGACCTGTCTGGAACGGGGGGGATGAAAGACGCAACCCATGCACCAACCAAACAGTGGAGGTCACGTCAATGGCTGACGTCAGCTATGAGGCATGGAGGTTTCCGCTTAAAACTTGGGATGCACATGGCCGCATATCTTGAGCATTTCCAATACCCATACCTGAATTCACTGAACATGCCCAGTGCAAAGGGATATGAAGATTTCCTACTTGGGACCCGGGTCATGGGAAGTCTGGGCACAGGTTGCGACTTAAATCTCGATCCGACACCAAGAGGGTCACGAATGAGTCAGCCTTCAGATCCTGTGTTGCAGATTTCCCTTTGCTTTTTCTTCCCTCAATAACGGGACTCAAATTCTCGAAAATGTTTCTTGATGGTTCTTTCTGGTTTCCTCAAGAAGGGGACCTGCAGCAGCAAAGAAATGGGCGTGCCTCAAAATTGAAGAGCTGGGGATACGCAGGTTTTGGTCTTTGTGTCCATCCAAGGGGCCAAAAAGTGGTACCAGTTTCTTGAGCCACAGCCAAATGGGTCGCTGGTTGGCTGCGACTCGTTTTCGCGTCGCCGAGGTCCTGGCGCAGGAGCCGGTGACCTTGAAGCAGGCCTGCACCGCGCTGCAGCAGCAGAAGGCGCGGACGGAGGGGCGGTGATCCTGGCGCTTTCGGGACATGCGTGGCCCGTTTTTTTTTGTGTTGTTGAGTTGGTACCCCTTGGTTTTGAAAGGGAAACCAAAGAACGGGGAAACCAAAAGGGAAACCGCTTTGTTTGTGGGTGGAGTTCTTGAACCCTTCACTTTACAGGAATCTGGTTGTCTTTTGATCGGGGAACCCTCTTCTTAAAGATAAGCCACAAGGAACATCATTTTGGGTCCGATTCTTGATAAAGACGCACGCAAATATCCTGGGCGCTCAAAATTTCAGGGAGCAAACATCTGCCCACAGAACCACCACCCGGTCTCGACGCTAGGTCTCCAAGCTGCCGGTGGTCAACAAGGACATGGAGCTTGTGGCGCTTATCTGCCGGGCCGCCAGAGGATCAAATGGGTGTGTGTGTGTGTGTCTCTTCTAAGGGCGCCCCCCCCCCCAAATAAAGAATAAATAAAATAAGGCAACATACAAATGCGGTTTTCTGTTGGTCCTGCTTGAAAACCAACCAAAGGAGGGTTCCAAACGAAAAGTGATGATAATAGTAATAATTATAATAATACTACTACTACTACTAATAATAATAATAATAATAATAATAATAATAATAATAATAATAATAATAATAATAATAATAATAACAATAATAATAATAATTAATAATAATAATAATAATAATAATAATAATAATACTGATAATAATAATAATAATAATAATAATAATAATAATAATAATAATAATAATAATAATAATAATAATAATAATAATAATAATAATAATAATAATAATAATAATAATAATAATAACAATAACAATAATAATAATATAATAACAGTAATAATGATTATAATAATGAATAATATTAATAGTAATAATAATAACAATGATAATAATAACAATAGTAACAACAATACTAATAGTAAGAATAATAATAGTAAGAATAATAATAATAACAATAGTAAAAACAATAATACTAGTAAGAATAATAACAATAATAAAAAAATAAAAAAAAAAAACACAAAAACATACTACAACAAAAAAATAAATAAATGACATACCATACACATGTGGTTTCCGGTTCCCCTTTGAAACCAACCGAGGGTTCCCCAATACAAAGACACCCCCAAATTTCAACGCATGTCGACAGAACAAACCCTGCGGATCACATCCGGGGCAAGGAGGAGGGAGGAGTCCAACTAAAACGGGGCAGGTTCCTCTAACATTCAGATACCCCTTCTAATGATCGGTAGTTTGGATTGGTGGTTTGGTGGCAAGATCCAAGCCACTAACTAATGGTTACCTCTGTAGGCACCAGTTGCCTTGAGGCGGAACACAGTCAGGATTCTCGCATGCCGCAGCCCAATGGCTCTCCCGACCTCACGGATGGAGTTCGGATCCGGTCAGGGATCCGAACGTGACCCGAGGCCGAGGGGACATGAAGCAGGTGCAGAGGAACCCGAATGCCTCCCGGGATGCCAACAGGCCGGGCCTTCGGGCCTTCGGGCCGGGCCGGTTGCAACCGTGCACAGGAAGGCCTGATCCGCTCGAATCCCTTTCCCTCTCGTTTCCAATTGAAACCCGGTGCCCCGAATCCCGAATGCAACTGCAACCCCCAGGATGCTGACTCTAACCTCGCTGATGGTTTCCCTCAAGCATGTCCCTGTTTGCCAAGCAGGACTTTCCAGGGCAACAGGTCCTAGCAAGCTAGCTTGAAAACAGGGGCCCAACCAAAGAAATCCCCTGATGTCCTGCTGGCGTAAGAACAGAGGCGTCGAACAGTTGCTGATTTTCCGAACACTGCCCGAATGACCAGGCAACCAAACAGCAAACGCAAAGCACAGCGAAGCGAATCGAAGGGTCAAACAGACCATAGCAGAACTGAGGAGGTTTTTCTGGTTTGCCCGCCGTGCATGTGTATGAATGTTTGTGTCAATAGGACCGGGGAAGATGGGGGGCTTCAATGAAGGGACACTATGGCAATGGCAGTGCTGCGGCTGCCTGTTTTGTGGGATCGTTTGCCTGAAGTTACCCAAAAGCTTTCAAAAGTTTGGAAAGAACAATTCCCCTTTAACTAAGGCATCGGATTCGGAAGGACTTTGCACCCTGGAATTCACGTAGTGAACAAATGTGAGGGGAACTTGGGTACCTCCCCAGGCCAACAAAGAACGGTACACTTGGAATCTATTTTGCAACCAACTGTCACGGCCCGAGGAAGCTGAGGAGTTTTGGAACGAGCAGCCTCTCCGAGAACCCATTTGTGACATTTGTGATTTGTGGCAGTTCCCCCAAGTGATTATTTTTCAATTCTCACCAGCAAACTCTTGAAGGGGATTCCTTGACTTCCCAAGGCAAGCTTGCCCAACCTCCCAGCCGCCAGCTCGCCTTTGTCCGTTGCCTCTCTGTCTTGAAAATGTTGGTTCCCTCGAACCGACAGGTGGTGGTTCATTTGGTTCATTCGAACCCAGGGCTTTGGTCCCGTGGAAACTCCGCCAAGTCTTTCCGTTGCCGGTCGGCTGCCAGAGAGGCAGCTCATGGTGGCCGCTGCCGCGAGCCCACACGAGGGCTGGGACCGGGTGAAGGCGCGGAGAGCGAGTCGGAGGGCACCAAGGATTAGGTAGCACATCGTTTTTGGGTAAACGCCAGCCAGAAAACGGGTTTGCCGGGAATATGACAAATGGCCACACATTTGATTTGGCCATGGCTCAAAATCCAAATCGTACCCCCAGTGAACATCCCAATCCCCACTAAAACAGGTTCTAAAATGGGTGGTGAATTCACAAATCCCAACCAAAATGGTACCACTTGTGTTAGATGGGTGTGGGTCAAAATTAAACCACCAGCAAACCGCATGTTTCAGTCATGGGCAACCCATTTACCATTTAAACCACCCATTTGGGGTTGCCCCATTTTTGACCAACCGCCATATATATCGGTCTACCCGACGACGTGGTTGCCCAACGGGTCCACGTAGGCCATGGTGGAGGCGGGGGCAGATCTGCTGCACCTGGACACCGAGGAGGGCGTGGATGCCAAAGCAGCACGGCGCCCTGGGGATGGCAGCTGCAAAATTTCAGCTGCCATGGTCGTTGCAAAATGTCAGCTACATTTTTGCATATTGTGGTTTAGTGGTTGAAATCCCCACTTAGCTGCTAAAATGTGTTTTTCTCCCCTTCCAACGTCAGCCAAGCTGCGAGCTTTTTGAAGAAGGAGGACGAAGCCTTCAGGATGATTTGTGGATGTAGGTGCATTTTTTTTTAACTTGTGACTAGTTGGTGATGAGAATAGAGACGTTAGTTGATCAGTAATTAGAGTACGGACAAACGATAATGGCATGAAAGCAATTCGAACCTGCTACGATGTTTTCTTTTTGTTGCGCAACTCATGTATTGCTGACTTTGTGCTTGACATCGTTGTTCTGTCTTCTTGTATTTGGGGTTAATCTCATACGTTGATATTTTGCATCTTAACATATTGTATTTAGTCATAGGAGCATGCATAATACACAGAATGGATTAGCACATAGTCTCATTATCAGTCTCTCATGTTGTTTGTGCCCTTCAGCATATGTTGCTTTAATAAGAGACATGAGCGATGATTACGACGAATAAGGCAATTGTATTTCACATTTGAACGTTCCTATGTTTCACCTGCGCTCATGATACCAACTCATCTTCAGCAGCCCATTTTCATGCATTTGGTTGCCACATATTATATAGCTTACACATGATACCAAGTAGAACTATCAACATACATAAACATTTAAGTCATGGAGATGCACGGCAATGCACAGACAGGATTGCAATAGCGGATAAAGCAACTTAGAGCAACCAATGGATGTTGATAATCCTCTTCTCTATCCACTTTTCAAGTTTTCATTGTAATGGTTTCGATGTCAGGTGTTGAACGATCAAGGAATGGATGGAGATACCTTGATAGAAACGTGAAGGAAGGTACGGCATAGAAAGGATAATGACAGCGCATAGAAACACTGAAATTATGTTTGGTGTGTTTATCCATTCCTTGCGTCTCGTATCTAACAATGAAATGAGAACCCCACAAACGAGGTGTTCTTTTGTTTTCCTCGTCTGTGTTGCCATTGTTCAACTCTGTGCCAGGGATTTCGGAACACTGCTCTTGTTCCCTGTCTTTGGAGCCAGTATGTTCTTCTTCAGTCTGTGCCTTGGCGAATTGGAAATGACAACACGCTGGCACGGCGGATTTTAAAGGAAAGCCGAAGAGAAAATTCGAGGTGCTGTGATTGGTCCCCGCTTGTGGGGAACTACATGTGGTGAACTGGCATACAAAAATTTCTGCGGGCTGGCACGTGCTGTCGCCCCGCTTCCGATCAAGCCACCCCCAACTAAGCCTCGCGGGGCTCTAGGGAGGCGCCTTACTTGCTGGTGCGATAGGGAATGAACCTTCCAGGTGTAGTGGGAATGAACCATTTGGGGATTCCCTTTAAAAGAACCGTGTTTCATTCCCTGCCTGTCGAACCAGCAGGTTAACATGAGCCATTCTAGGGATCTGCGTCTTGTGGGCTCATGGTTGGGGACTTGGGGACCTCACGCAGATCTTCGGATGTATCTGTTTTTAGGAGACCCCCAAACTGGTGGTTTTCCTCTTTCCTTTTAAAGCCTACCAAATAGGAGATAGATCCGTTCGGGCAGTGCCGGGTTTCCTTGGATAGCGTTCGAAGCTTCTCGCTTTGGGCCCCAGCAGCCCCCCCCAAAACGGACCCCAGGCCTTGGGTGAGGGGACGGGTCAAGACGGCCGCTCTGAGATCTCCTTCCTGAAGGAGATGAAGGCCGGCGAAGAAGCGAACTGGGTCAAGGGCCATGGCAAAGAGCTCCATGCGCGGCCCAAAAAAGAACTTACCAAGCTCCGGAAGAAGATTCTTCGAACGGCGGGACCGGAGTCGGACTTCTGGTTTCTTAATATGATGATATGTCTGGTTTTTGTCAGCAGACCAAGTCATTTGAGCGCAGTTGAGCAACTTGCGATAGTTGTTACCATTGGGCTTCATGAAGAAACATCACACATAGGGGCAATACTGTGGCCTCATGGCCGGTTTGCTTTTCGAGTTCCCTTTTTGAAGCCAATTGAAGCAACTTTTACCCAGGCCCCGACCGGTTTTGACTCGTCTAGGAGCTGCCATGAGCAGCTTGGCTCTGGGTCCGACTGCTCGCCCATGAAGGTCCCTTTCTTGGGGGTTTCTTGGTTCCAAATTCAAGACATTGTTTTTTCAAGCTTCATATGCGCCGTTCGATTGCGGCTTGAATTTTGCGGTTTCAGAGTGTGGCCTCTCGAACAACAATCCATACTGCGAAAATCACATAGGGCGAAGCCAATTTGGAAAAGGACCCGTGTGATGACCTCTGGTGCCCTTTTAGTCACAATCACACGCACGCTACCTGTCTATATATATATATATATTCACATCCATATATGTATATATATATATATACATATATATATATATATATACATACGTATATTTATATATATATATATACACAATGGTCTCGTGCGCTGTGCAGAGCCCCGCCCCCCTCCCCACACCCCCCAGCCCCCCCGGTGAGCTCCCCAACCCCTGAACCCGCACCTAAGCCAGCCAGCCTATCCCCAACCCCGAAGCCTGGCCCTGAGCCATGGGCCCCGACACGTTTTACTTTTTGCTCGGGTGGGCGCTTTGGGCCGCGGCTTGCGTGGCTGTCCACAGCATCATCAGCAACCCGCAACATCACTGCCAAGCTAGTGCTTGTAATCGCGTAGTTTCTTCCATGACCGTAGAAAGCAAAGACCTTGAACAAGCTCAAAGATCTCCACAGCCCTCCCTCTTTCGGGGCGGCTCTGTTGCGGGTCTCCACCCAAACCAACCCTGGACTCAAACCACCATAAGCCACAACTCACCATCCTAAACCCAACCCTGGACCAACCCTAACCCCCCCCTAAACCGACCCTGAGCCCTATCCACCCAGTCCCACCCTGAACCAACCCTATACCAACCCTAAACCGATCTAACCAGAAACACGAGAACCAAACATCAACCCTAAGCAAACCCTACAGCAAGCCTAAACCCACTCGAAACATTAAGCCACTATTGAGCTGGAGCTGCCAAAGCGCGCCTGGCACACTACACTTGAAAATTTGTGCTGAACAGATGAGACTTTTAGCCTGGAGCTGCCAAAGCGCGTCACATATACTACATTTGTCGTACTGAGCCGTGGCTTTCCAGCCGGAGCTGCCACGGAGCTGGTCGCGCCTTGGCTGCGAGGTCCACAAGATGCGGTTGCAGCAGCTCTGGGACGACGCAGCTCAAGCGCGAGGAGTGCACTGTCCAGGAGCCGCTCGAGCAGCGCCAGCAAGGCCAAGGCCTCGCTGACTGCCGCCAATTACGACTTGACTGTGCAAATGCCTGTCGCCAGCTGCCGACCGCCATCCGGCCCTGCACAGGCGCGCCTCGTGTCCGGCCCTGTGCAGCAGCTTGCGGCCGCAATCTGGACACAGTGCGACTGGATCTCGCGCGTCGGACGCTCGCACGCCCAGGGACCTAAACGCCGGGCCCTGTGGACCGCGGGGGCTCGCGAGTGCGGGGCGCGCGCGCCACACACACACACACATGCCAAGTCTAGCAACTAATTGAACTACGCGCCGCGAGTATGAATGCCTTTTGTGAAGCCTCTGCTCATTGCCATTTGACTGACCCAGCCCTACTTGCAGTCGCTGCTACGGCCCTTGCAGGTGAACCTGTGCCTAGGACAAGCCAAGCCCCAAACGCATCCTAATGAATCAACCCTAAGCCAAGCCCACCCAAAATCAACCCCAAGCCAACCCTAATCCTCAACGAAACCTGAGCCGAAGCCCATCTTAAAGCAACGCTAATCCAGAGCTGTAAACTCTCCCTCAATAGCCTGAGCCAGGCCTGATCATCCTGACCTTGACCATTGCGGGTGGGTGACAACGCTGCACCATGTATTTGCATATAACTGACTTTACGCGTGTATCCATCTAACATACGCATGCGTATTGGACTCTCTTTCTCAATGCGTAAAACTCCATGCTTTTGCTAGCTTCCGGAAAGCAAAGCTTTAGGTCGGTTGGAAACACGCAAATCCAAGGTTGTGGGAGTGAGGGGATTTCTTTGCCAGGCAGCGTCACCCTTTGAGAGATTTGGTCATTTAGAAGTGACACTGCTCTGGCAGGAGAAATTTGCTGGGATCGATGTGCTGGCCGGCCCGGTGAACAGCCTCCAGCAGGCAGGGTGACGATTGTCAGGCAGCAAGTCAGCTTGTTCAAAGCTGACGGTTCCTGGCGATGAACAAGAATCAACAACTGGTGGTTGACTTTGACAACGCTACAAATGGGGCCAGTGACACCTGGGATATTGCACTAGGCATTGCGATCTCACCTTGGGGTCAAAGGAGCTGTCCCACAAGGAAGGCCCTCTTGCTTATGATTGTGGATCCCGGAAATTATGTTGTGAACATAGAGTAAACTATGCAGGTGGAAACGAAATGCATTTGGCTTAACAAAATTGTCGCCTTAGATCTACATTATGTTTGTTCAAGCAAATATAGGGGTTGTTCTGCACAAAAAACACCCAGAACGGTTATGGCTTGTGTTTTGTGGAGATTCCTTTCTGGGGGAGCCGCCCTTGCACATTCAACCTGATCGCAACAAGTGCCCTTTCAGAAACCCCTTTAAGATGATCCCTTGGCAAGGCGAATCACCACAGCTCGTAATGTTGTTTTCCGTCTCCTCGCGAGGCTTGCAAAACAAGGTGATACTTCCCTTGAGAGGGCGGCTCTCAGACAACGTTGGTGAGGCCCACGGGTCCTTTTTCATGGCGCGAAAAGAGCCCGGGTTTTGACAAGCGAAGCGCGTTTCGTGGCCCACGTTTACTTGGCCAACAAGGCGCTCTCAGGCTTGAAGCATTGGTCCAATCGCAGCCTTAGTGTAATTCGGCCAGTGGAGTCTCGTGGAAGACAAGATTCCGTTGGGGATAGCGCCCAAAATTCTACAGCGCTCATTGGGACGTTGGAGCAATGATGAGATACTGGTGGAACTGCGCAGCCTACAAGTTCACCTCAGACATACCTGTTGGAGGAACTGTGCAACGCACTTTGAAACACGTTCCATTTAGGGGCCATGACTCGGTTGCCTCACGGTGGAGGTGGCGGGGTTCATGCGTAGATGGGTTTGGAGTGATCCCCTGCCAGTCGAAAGGCAAGGATCCAAACCAACGAGAGTAACTTATGAAGAATATGCAGCAGAAGGTGAGTAAGACCATCTGGCATGAAACAGGTGGAACACACACAGACCTTCTCAATTTCTTGCTCAAGCGCTTCCTGTAAACCTGGGATCCAAAACACAGATCTTTGAAGATGTGTCTCTCAGGTCCTTGACACGATCTCAGTTTCCACGTTTCTTGACACGTGGCCTCATGTTCGCCCAAGAAAGTGATTCCCCTCCAGGCAAACCTTGCTGGTGTGGGGAATGTGGTTGAATGAACCCAGTCCCCGAAAGGAAACCAGGCGCATGGTTTACAGACGGGTCATTCCATTTCTCATTCCCAGCTCCCATGCGACCCCAGGCCGCCCAGCTCTGCGAGCATGGGGCGGACGCCATCCTGGCACGGGCCCAGAGCGACACCCAAAACGCTCGGAGGTTTCCCTCAGCGGGGGGGAGCCACTTGTCTACGTGGGGAAAACTGGGGCCAAGTAAAGAAACTCAGCGAAATGTTCAGAGTTTTGTCAATGGGCTGACAAGTTGCTGAACTTCGGAGTTTTGTCAAGCTGCCCCGAACGAATCGGAAAGGGGGGCCGTTGCCACAAAGGAAGATTTCGAACGCATCTCGCCACAAAGGAAGATTTCGAACGCATCTTCCCTTTCGATAGGGAAGCAATATGGGGGCGAAAGCGTCAAAGCCCGGAGGGCCCTTTTGCTTGGGTACAACCCTTTGGTCCCGGTAGAGTTTTGACCAGCCATATTCATGTTCCCATGATGCGCAGGGACACAATATGGGTGGCGCGTCTGTTTTTGTGGGAGCTACCCAGCTTTTTTGGTGGTCTGAAAGGGAAACCAATCGGAAAACAGTTGCGCCATTGTGTGGGTCTAAGACAAGACGGTGAAAGGCGATAGTTTTATCCAGAGGCCGAAATATTCACCCATATTCACCCATTGCACCACCCAAGAAAGCCTGGAAGGATGATTCAGTACTGATTCCCGCCGCAAATACCAACAAATACTGGCTTCCCATGGATTCAAAGTGGTGCAGGATTTTGTCCATCAGTAGTTTTCTCCAAAGGCCAGTCCCCATAGGCCCACTCGGTGAACAAAAAGGCGCTCAATCTTATCTCTCAGGTGGGCCGCGCCGGCGGTGCAGAGGCCACGGTGATCTATGAGATCTCCAGGTCGGAGGGAGATGTGGCCGATTTGGGCGGGGGGGGTGGGCACAAACGATAATTGGACTGGTTTGGCGCATTCAAAAACGGTCGATTAAAACGAGTAGGCGATAAGCAACCACGGAGCAAGACGTGATTTGCGCTTTTGGCAGACCCTGCTGAAACTTCAGGAACAGTGATTGTGAACACTTGCCCCTCATTGCTTATTTGGAGAGGCAAGCCATGCGCATTGAGGGCCAGAACGGAAAACCCCGCGCCTTGAGGTCCTGGTTCCAATCCTATCGCACATGGGGTTCCGGGTCAACGCCGGCCGGAAAGGTCGCTGCGGGCGAACTTTGGGGTACCGGTGATCGCAGACGTGGGGGTGCGGGCCTCGGATTTGCCGTGCCAAGAGGTCAAGCCAGCAGTTCCCTGCCAAATGACGAAGAAGACCAGTTACCACCCACTTAGGTGCCTCCTTTGTTGAGGGTTTGCTGAAAAGGTCAAGCCGCTTCTTTGAGGGTCCAGCTCATACTGCGGATGGACGCACGGAGGTTCAGAAACCCTGCAAGGATGATTCCCCTGTACATACCAACATACAATGGTTGACAAGGACCCTTCATAGTTGTTGGCAAGTCTTTTTGGGTTTTAGAGTTTTGGGTTCTGTTCATTTTTTAGTGGAGGGGGGGGGGGGGGCTGCAAAAAACAGAGGTTCTTTGCTACCATACCAAGGGTTGTAAAGGACCACAGGTGTCCTTTTGATCGGTGAGCTTGGTGAGAAACAGATGGGTTCCACTGGTTTACATTGGTTTCATTCCATTTACCAGGGATACCCATCTATTTTTCGAAAAAGGTCACCTGTGAGCTCACCCATGATGAAGGTTCCATTGGAGATGTCTGATCTTTCAGCCCGGACCCTTGTCAGGGGACACGAGCACCCTGCCCTCCAGAAAGATTCTCAGAGCCCGTCTAAGAAACCTGAAGAAGGTTCCAAGGATTCACGGTTGCAAGGGGCGACATCCCATCTTCCTGCCATGTACCAAGCTCACTCTGCCAAGACATGGTGGGACTTTGCATAAATGTTCTCATTGATACTGGCCACATGTATCCTTACATATGTAACATTTGATGGAGGGCAGGGTTGCCACGACAGCTGCTGAGAAGTCCTACAAGTAAAGCTGGCCTGAAGGCATGCTTTATTGGTCTCATGTCGGTTTGACAGCACAACTTATGCATTACCCAAGAGTTTCGTTCATGGGTCCCGAAGAGTTTCCATGCAAATCTTTCAACCGCTATGAGCCATACATTCCCAGGAAGCGATTCTTGGCCAACAGCGCTCAGTATTTTCCACAGGTCACTGCGAACGTCTGCGCCTAGAGGCATACTCGTCCTTTTCTCCACTCGGTCGCTTTTGGGATTGGCTGAACTATTTGCTTTTTGAAGATCACCCTTTCATCAACACCTTGTTCGGTGCATAGGCCCCCCCCCTTCTCAAAAGGAAAGCCGCCTTGTGACACGGGTCTGATGAGTAGCAACGGTTTGTTGTGTTTTCGTGTTGGTATTTTCAACTTTTTGTAGGACCTTTCCCTTCATGACTAGGTCGAAGTTTGTCTCCAAGTCTCTGAGATGGTTTTCGCTAACCCCCCTAGTTGCCACTACCAAGCTGCTTCTCTGTCATGAGAATACTTACTGGAACACCCCATTGAAAGAATGTGGCAATGGACAAGTTGAATTCTGGCCTTCGTGTAATCCCTGGCCCGTCAGATGTTTTTCACCGGGCGTCCAACAAAGTCAGGTGCAGGACTCCGGGCAGGTCCTGAAGGCGCGGGACAAACCAGGGTAGACGAAGGTTAGTAAGGAATAGGCCCAACCGGAAAACGGTAGACCATTTTACTACTACAGGTTTTGATGATGACTCAGACTGTGGACGCGATTCCTGCACCACTTGAGAGAGATGAAACCCTATGAATGATGGGATAAGCCACCTGCCAACGGGAGCACCATTTTGTCCATCCACAGCCAGCATAAGCGTCAAACCAAATGCAGGACATGTAAGACAGTGGAAGCTTCTGCCTTTTGGCCGTTCGTTGAAGATGTCTTCGGCAGTTAAGTCGTACTTGGAAGAGCCCATGATCTACGCTTACAATGATCCATGAAACGCAATGTATTTGGGAACTCCCACCTTCAGTTTGGCACAAAGAAAACGAGGTGGGGGCCGGCTTGGACACGTCTGTTTGCTTTTTGTCGGCTTCGCCATGACTCAAAGAGAGCTTGCTTCCATCAATGGCTAGAAGTGTCTGAAGTCTGCCAACCTTTTGTCACAGACTTCTGGACACCCCTCAACACATGCATTTCTGCCTCAATCTTACGGGCTTATTTTTTTCTTTGTGGGCACAACCCAATCATGTTCGCACCCGCTGATTTTTGCAAAAATGAGCTCCGTCCCACTAGCCGCAAGAAACACATGGTCCAAAACCACGGGTAGATGAGGCTATCCCGCGAGAGGAAAGGCCTCACAGCCTCTTATTCTCTGGGCTTTGTGCACCCGACCTGAGGCCTTGCTCCTGGGGGCCAGTGCGGTCTGCCTCGACCCCCTGGTTCAGCGATGTGAGGCGATTTGAGTCGGAGGCTTTCATGCTGAAAGTTGCGGATTTGTTGAGCCTCAACGTTTCCTTTCGGGGGTGGGTTGCCTTTGGACCCTGAAAAGGTACAGGGTCCAAAATGCCACTCCCAACTGCAACTCATATCTTTTTGGCGGCCTTTGTGTTTGCTGGGTATCTTCTTTGGCAAGGGGGTTGGATCCCAAATGGAGGGGTCCGATTTGTCGACTCTTCACAAAAGGAGGTCCTTGGCTGAGACAATGTTCCTTAAGGTGCAGCTGGTGGGTTCCATGCTACGTAGAAGCTTCGGTACCTAGACCTGTGTGGTTGCCCCGAGAAAAGGTGTTGTTTCCTCTTGGAGGTATGCCACTTTTTCAATGGCCTTTTGAGCTCCAAGTACACTCTTTCAGATTGCTCCCACCTCCCTCTCCTTGCTCTTGTTGCCCTCATGAACTTGAAAGAAACACGAAACAATTTAGGGGCAGAAGCGCATGGTAGGCACAGTTCAGCAAGGGCATCACTTTCTGTGCCAAGGGAATCGTCCTTAGAGCCCAGGAGGCCCCAGGGGACCTCATCTACCGCAACGGCTCCTTGGCTCATCCATGCGCTCCGAAGCGCCCCTCAGAGCTGGGTTTTTCGAGTTCCCCAGAGGTCTTCGTGGCCCAATTTCTTGGCCCAGCGCCAGTTATATTTCCGGCGCTGAGTGAGCGGACCTGTTGGCCCGGTGTAGAAACATAAACCCGGGACCCCTTTTTCGCCTGCCTGGTCCAAGCCTAAACCTTAAACTCAATCAACAGCTTACCTTCAATCCCCGCTTGCTTCACTCTAGCTTATAAATTGAGCCAAAGCCACTCAACATGAACCTGCAACCAACCAGAACCTACCCGAAGTTTTCCTCAATCTATCATCACCATCAACTGCAATGCCCAGCAGTTGCCTCTCTTAGCGGCCATCTACTTGGGAACAACTGAAGGAACAGGACAACAATCGCATTGTCCCAGAGCTTTCCTTGTGTCAGGCCAGCGGTTTTACCGGGTTTCTCCACTTCCCTTTTCGGAACCTCCAGTGGAATTCGTGTCAATGGAAAGCCACCGGCAAGTGACTCGATCAGCTTCCAGGCCTTCAATTCTTGAGCCGAGGCGTGCGGGTGAGGCTGGAGCCTTCTCCTGCAGGACTGGCCTTGGGCGGCTTCGGCGGTCGCCCCAAAAAGGGGGGTGGGTGTACCCTTCTTCCCACCAACATACTGTGGGACGAAATCCTGCACCACCTAAGAAGCTCCAAAAGGATTCGATTCCCCCCCATAAATACCAACAAAGAATGGTTTCCCATGGATTCAAAGTGGCGCAGGATTCTGTCCATCCACAGTAGCACCCGCACGGCTGCCTGGAAGATCAGTTTCCTCCTAAAGGGATCCCCTATCAGGTGCCTTGTTAGTGAAAAAGTGGGTTTGACATGATGCTTGGGGCTGAAAGGTGTGTTTCCCTCACGTATTCCGTGAGGGCAAAAAGAATAGGTTCGGTGGCTCAAGGCGCTGTTCCCAGAAGTACTCCGGGAAGAGTTGCTTGCCGGCTCCGAAGGAGCATAGCAACTGTGAAAAGCTGTTGGAATCCACAGGTGTCCTTGGCGATTCATGGTTAACCTGGTTGTGTTGTAATCTCAAGGGCAAACTATTTTCCCAGAAGGACACCTATGTTGGAACCCCTCAGGCCAGCCACGCAAGAAGCTTCCAGAAATCGAAAACCCTTCTCAACCGGATATGAGACCTGATGAGATGCAAAGAGGTGTTCTGCTCACAGTGTTTCAGTAGCACTTGAGTAGATGAAGTTAGGAAGGGATAGTCCCAACCATACATGGGTGCGGCCGCCTTTTTACTTCTTTATATACATGTCTGGGTAGACCATTTTAGCACCGGGTTTGGATTATGCCTCCCTTGAATCTTTGCAAACAAATCCCTGCATCGGGCTGACGCGCTTGAGTTAGGGGGCAAAAGCCACCCAGTTTTGAGCCATATGGGTTTGTCTCAAAATACACAATGGATGGTTTTCCTTTGGTGTCTCTTTAAACCAACCCCCAAAAGGGGTACCAACTCCAAAAACCTCGACAGACCCGTGGAATGTCAAGGCTCCTATTCCTCACCCCTTCGCCGCCACGTCTAAGGCGCTGGGGTTTCCCAGCGTAAATTCAACCATGCACTTTCTGGTTGGTTTTCGTGAGCAAACCGGTGTGTGTCGTTCTTGGGGCGACCCCCCCAAAAGCAAAAGCAAAACAAAAACAGGTTGTTTTCCTTTGGGTTTCCCTTTAGCAACCATTTCCCAAACTGGGGTTTTCCCCAAAACAGCCAGACCCGGGTTTTTGTGTTGGCCACCTCGCGAGATAGTTTTGGTGCTAGGTGCACCTCACACGCGACGTGAGGACCTCGGCCAGTGGAGATGGGATGCGCGGCCGCGGCCATCGCCGCGCCGCCCCAGTTGTCGAGATGGCTCTGGGAGTTGGAGGGAAACAGCCAGACCAAAGGTCGGAGGGTGCGAAGAAAGGCGACCTGTGGATGTGCAGAATCCTGATCGAATCCTTTCGGGGTTTTTAGGTGGTGCAGGATTTCGTCCACCCACAGTACCAATCGAAATTTGGAGCTCACTCCAAAATCAGGGTAAAAGCCAGCACCGCCCCAAAGAACTCCTTCCCATGATCACAATCCCACTCAAGCAGCTGCAAGTGGCAAAAAGGCAAAATACCTTTTGGGAGTTCGCGTCACAAAGTTGGGCACTGGAGGTCTATTTGCCTTTGGTCAAATCGGGTTGAAATGTGCCAGGACAAAGGTTCCATTTTGAGCTTCCTGCCGCCGCTGCTGCAGAACCTGCGGACGGGCTTTCAGGACGCCGGGGCTCGGCTGACTTCAAGCGGCCGAAGAAGGCAAGGCTCAGGTTTGGTTCTTACCGTCGGCGGTCACAAACGGTTGCTTGGGGTCTCTAGGTCTGTTCTGATCGATTAGTTTGGGCGCAGAGATGGGTTCCACTAGTTTAGACGGATTTTATGCATCACTTACCAGGGAAACCCATGTATTTTCCACAAGGTCACCTATGGCCTCGAGGCTCCCTTGTTTAACTTGGCGGTTCGGAACCTTTAGGGGATCAGTTTGGACAGCCCAGGCTTGGCCTGCAAAATGCGTGGGAACGAAGAAGGACCAAAAGCCCTTGAAAGGGAGCTAAAATGAAATCGCTACGTCCAAGCTGTTGGCCTAACCGAAAGGTCTCTACACATGTGCATGGCAATGCGATTCTGTACAAGTTCTTTACTGGTGTTGGGTATACGTGTAGGGATGAGGTTGGGCGGGTGAGCCCTGTTTCAATTGAAAACAGCTCATGCATGGCAGGGTTGACGGAGGTTGATCGACATTGCACTTTGTGGCCGACAGACTGTGTGAACTGCCGCTCTTGCACGGTGCGTGTTGAGTCGGTGCAAGCGGACAAAGCTTTCTGCGATGTATGGATATCACCCGGAAGAAACACCTCCTAGCTTTACTTCATCAGAGATTTCCGTGCCCTGAATGAAGCCTTGAAGGTTTGACAACCCGCGAAGCTTTGCAGGACTTGGCACTCTTTGGCAAGACTGTTGAGTACTCTGGTGCTGTTGATACTCGATTGCCCGGCATGTTAGTCATGTTGGTGTGCATCAGAATCGTAAGAATGCTTTCTTTGAACGGGCTCATCATGCCCATGCCTATCCCCGAGCCAGACCTGTTTCATCGTAACGCGCAGGTCAGGTAAACAATCAAAAGCAGGAACAGCAGTGGCGGCAGCAACGACAGCACAGCCGCCCGACCACGAACACCATTTCTCCTATGACCATCGCCGAGTTCTTGAGATAGCTGCCGCAGCCACACGCTCGACAGGATCTGGGCATCCAGTCCATGGGCGATGTGTCCAAGGCGGAGCCCGCAAATTGGCCCCATGTGGTTGAAGTCTTCCCAGTTTCCTAGTCAGCGCCAGCTGGCACCTGACAGAAGATAAGGCGGTTCGGTAAGAGGGGCCAGACATTTGCCATGGTTTCTGGATTGTTTTCCATGCAAGACTTCAGCGAACCATGCGCTCCGCGAGGATGTACATAGTGGCTTGGACATCTTCGGTACCCCACTCCAAGAGCTAAAGTTGGAGATCTTGCTGTCCTTGTCTTCCCTGGGCTGGTGGGTTTTGAAGGGACACGAGGAGAACCGTTGCGGCATTTTAGGTTGAGTTTGGGGGAGCGAAGCTCCATTTCGGGGCTAGGGTGCAATGTGGCCCAAGAACCCAGATATTTCAGGTGAAACGGCTGACACTTTTTGGTGTTCAGCTGTTTCTCGCTTGAGGTTCAACGCGCATGATGCTGGTGATGCCGGGCCGCCCCCCCGCATCCCCCGGCATCCTCAGCGTTACTTGGGAGGTCAAAACCTGCATCACCTTTGCATCACACACCGTTCGCTTCCGAACCCCTGTTCCCTGCTTGCTGCTTTTTTTGGGATCCGAGCTTGCATCACCACAACATGTTGTTTTCTTTTCCTCGACCCTTTTTCCTTATTTTTTTCGGGAGCCCCTCTTGCATGAACACGGTTTTCGGGAGTCCCCTGCACCCTCTGCATGACGCCGTTCCGGAGGCCCTCTACTGTTGGGCACTGAACTGGCTCCTGCTTGGTCTCAGGTTGGTTGCTGATGCACAAGCTGTACCCAAATGGGCAACTTCAAGTTACGCCCAACTTCCACTTTCGCCATTTCATCAGTCAGAACCCCTTTGCCATTTCCCCGCTCCAAAAGTGGGACTCGATTTCAATGGAAACCGAGGGGGAAATTAAGCCATGCGTCGGGACCAATGAACATGGACCACATCCGATCTTGGTCCCGACGCAACCTAAATTTTGATCGCCCTGTGATTTGGGTTGACATCTCCGGTTCCCGGTTTCAGTTCGCAGGCGCTGGAGCAGGGCGTCCTGCGCCTGGAGCGGTGCATGGGAGGATTCCAGGAGGAGGCTGGGGAGGTCGTGCAGGGTCCGTTTCGGACTTGGGACTCTTTGGGTTTGAGCCGTTTTTGGGAGGTTTAAGCCTGTTCTGGGTCTAAAGGAAAAGGAAAAAGGGTTTAAAGACCGATTTTGGGGTTAAACTTGTTCACAGGACATTCCATTTTGGGGTTAAAGCGAAAAAGACAGTTTGGACCTGTTCTGGCCAATGTACTCAGAGCCCTTGAGAGGATTAGAGGCGGTTCAGATAGTGGACGGGGTGAGAATGGTTATAGCAGAAGCCTGTTGGGATGATGGGCCTGGTTTGGATGGGTCAACTGGACGGCTTGTTGGACATGGATTGTTGGATTTCGTTGCTACCTGGTGGCTGGCCATAGACATGTTTCTTTCGTGGAAGACTGTACGATGGGGAGATCTCGTTTTCTGGACTGGCCCAGATTTGGCGGCTAGCCAAAGGTGCTATTTGGGTGTGTCTAAAATGGGATCCCCCTATGAAAGGTTGGTTGTCTCAAGCGGCCGAACCTGGGGGCAAGCTTCAGTTTTGGTTCTTGCCTTCGGCTGTCGAAACTGTAGTGGTCTCTAGGTCTGTGTCATGCCCGTTTTAGTTGGGACCATAGATATCCTTGTTAGCTTAGTTTTATTAGAATTGGGTCCACTGGTTTAGATTGGCTTTATTGGTTTTGTTCAATTTACCAGGGACACCCATTATTTGGATCCAGAAGGGCACCTATGGTCAAAAACATCCAACAAGTGTGTGTCCTCACAAGTTTGTCCCTCCCCCTTCTTTTTTCCCAGCTGTGCGGCTTCAACCAAATCCCAAGGGTCCTTTTTCTCGAGCCCGTCTTTAAACGAGGACTTTCTCTGACTTGGTGGTTTCCATGTGAACCCCATGCAGCTCAGAGACATTTTTTAAGCGACCTCTTTTGCAGGCCCCGCGGATGTTCCCCATCGTGGCCAACGGCCTGCACTGCCGTTGAGAGAGAGAGAGAGATCTTGCATGCCAACACCGTCTCACCTGCACTGAGCGAGGCATGGCGCAAATGGCAACCAGGATGTTTAATTGTGCTTTTCATACCTTCTTTCTTTGCGGGTAACTAATCCACTATGTTTCAGCAAGAGGTTTCAATTCTGGTTTCAAGCGAAGCGATCGCTGGCCCCGCATGTAAGAACGTCTCCAAGAGACTCGGATCGGATCTGCGGGGCGTGCGAAAGGAGCAGCTTGGCGGACTATTTCAGAACGTCTTGGCCTTGTCGTCAGAGTTTAGGTTTAAGGTTTACGACAGATTGCCAGCTTCCCACTAATTGGTGGTTTGGAGCCCGGTGGATTAGAGTGAAGGGGTCATTTACCCTCAAAATCGAAGCGGGGTGTTTTTTGCTCAGTGATGTTCCCGGCATCCCATCGCTTGCTTGCTTGGTTTCCTCTTTGGACGGACTGAAAGGACACTTCCACGAGATCTGAAACTGTAACTCCGCGGGCGCAGCCTGGCTCAGGCGTTTCTGTGCCAGGCGCACAGAGTGAGACCGGCAGGTGGCAGAAAGAACTAGCCGACAACACGCCTCAGTGTGCAACATGGGTTTCAGCACCTCGCAAAAATCGGACTCGGTGGGCGAGCAAGCCTTTCTTTGGGAAGCAGCCATTCACTCCCAGCATCAAATTGACCCAGCCCATAGCTCTTGACCCCAACCCTGGCGCCTTTTCCCCGCTGCACGGTTCGGGCGCGCCATGTTCCCGGGCCCGCGGACGGCGGGCAAGTCGAAGCACCCAGCGATCTTCGCGACCCCCAGCAAGGACTCAAAAGCTTCAGATGGCCGTGGGTCAAAAATTGGTACCTTAACATTTAAGCGACTAAAACCTGCAGTCCAATTCGTGGTAGTTTGATTTTGACCCTCGCAGAGGGTGACCCCAAACCACCAGGCTCCAAACCACCAAATTGGTGGGAAGCTGATCCTCGGACTCTGTTTTCTCTCTGGGTTCTGAATGGATGTCTTGCTTTCCCCCCCAACTCTAGGCACCTGGGAACGTGACCACTGATCCAAGAGCTCTAGGATGGGCGGTCTGTGCCGTGAACCTGTCATGGACACGGTGCATGCCCCGTTTGCCACAGTGCAAGTCGGGAAGAAGTTGGACATAAATTCCCACCATGAGAGGAGCAGTAGCTGGAGCAGCTGGCATCGGAAGTGAGAAATGGTTTGGCCGAGGGTCCAATTCCTTGAGCATGGCCATAGGAGGACCTCCTCTCCCCGTCAGAGACGCCGGAGAGGCAAGCCGCGAGCGAGCGAGCCGGGGGGGCGTGGGGGGGGAGGGGGGCGTTTGACTTTTGCAAGCTACGTGGAGGTGATTGGGTGATTGCCAAGTAAGTGCTTAGCCACTTGGGGGTTTTTCACCCCTAAGGTTGGGACTTACAAGTGGGTTGACGCCTTCACCGATACATTACTAACTTGGGTGGCCGAACATTTGGGGAAGGGGCCATTTGCGCAAGTTGAAGGGGCCCAGTTGTTTGGCCCCTTGACCCTTGCCCTTACCCTTTGATTCCCATAAGACTAAAACTGACCCTCTTGAGGTCCCGAACAATGGGGAACTTGTTCTTCTTTGTTTCGCGGTGCTGCTCCAGAATGATACGGCAGGATGGTTGCAAAATCCGTTTCGCAAGACAGAATGAAACCATGTTGACGTTTTTGGTATTTACGTTGGGGAATCGAATCGAAACATTCCGTTGGGTTTCTGAATGGTGGTGCGAAATGGAGTTCGTCCATCCACAGTATCAGCGCGAAATGCGAAAGAGAGCGATTGTGCCTGCATGCTGTGTGACTGACTTCACCCAACCCCAGTCCGTGAGATTGGCGCTGGTAGTGGTTATAGCCATGTCACAGCCTTGAGGTTGTTTCAATGCTGTCGCGATTGAGAATTCAACAGCGCACTTTGGACGGATCCTTCAATTGGCCTTGGTGTGGGTGTGTCTATTGTCGAGGGTGCTTTTTTGCGGTTTTATAGGACACCCAAGAACACCACCCTCTTTGGGGGTTCCCCTAAAAAAGGACACCCTGGTGTGACTTTCAAACATTTGATGTTGTCCAGCATGATTGCACGAGAAATCTTGGGCCTAGTAGGGCGGGTCATGGTCCCCTTGACTGAAGTGAGACCCATCGCTGTAGAAGTTATGTCTAGATGATTAATAAGTGGATTCAGGTGCTGTTCGCTGGCCATTTCTTTGGTCTCCCCTGTTAAAGCGGGGTTGACTTGTTCATTCTCGCAAAACAAAAAACACAACCTCAGTTGGCCTATCTAAAGAAGGCCTTCACGACCTTGAGAATGCTTGGGGTCATCTTCAAACCATGATCCTTGGTCTGAGCACACCGATATTTGAGAAGACAGTCCCAACATACCGCCGAGTTTGGCATGTTCAACAGCCATCCCGAAGTGGGAGACGTACTTAGAAAGAAAACTCACTTGGCTAAGCCTCCAAGCATTTTACATGGCAAACTGTTAGCCGCAATCACCCTCCCGCCAATGAACATGGAACCTGACGTTCGGGAAATCGGTCCTGGTTCGGACCATTTTCCTCTTAAAGGGGCCTTTCCTGAAGGGGTCAGGTTCCTTTTCTGCGAATAGGGCGGGAGGGCAACTTGGTACGCCATGGGCTCCAAGCTTTCACCTTGATGGAGGGCCCGCCTGAGGCCAGCGTCTACCTCGGGCCTTCGACGTCAGGTGTCTAACAGCAGGTGCCGAAGGGTTTCATGTGGGTGGGTCCTTGATGGTCCTTGTATTTTGTTAGGAATCGGAGCCCCCCCCCCCTCCCCAAATCACGCGACAGCTTTCGCTCTTCCTGCTGGTTTCCCCTTAAAACCCACCAAAAGGGGGCTCCCCCGAAGAAGAAGACACACCATTCAGCATTGTTTGGGTTGACTCCTGTTTTCTCCCAAGGTGTAGAGACGCAACGCAGACTTGCGGCAATGAAAAGAAGGTGACTCTTGATTGTTGATGAACACCCCCGTACTTTATCAGGGGACGCTTGCAGCCCCGGAAAAATTAACGCCCAACGACAAAATCAAATCGCCCTGATTGGAAATGGGGGTTTAGGCTTCAGCCCGTTTTGTTATATTCACAATCTTGTCCCTTTTTGTTTCGAGGTACCCCCGCCATTTTCCTGAAAGAAGTAACTCCCAAGCTGAAGCAAAACTCCATCAGCCCAAAAAACCGGTGGGGGGGGAGGCGCCGTTTCCTCAAAAATTGTCCCCGTCGTTTGGACGCCGCCAGGGACGCTCCCCGGGAGCTGCGGGAATTCGAGGAGCGGCCCCGGAGCGCGCCGGGGCGGCGCAAGGCGCCGACGCCCCGCGGGCGAGTTGGCCTGGGGGTTTCCTGACTTTGGGGACGTCTATGGGTCAGAACCCCGTACCCCAGTGAACATCCCAATCCCCACTAAAATGGACTAAAATGGGTGGTACACCTACCCCAAAATGGTACCATTGGTGTTGACCCAAGGGAAGTGCGGCGTCTTCCACGAGTTTCCAAGACTTTCAAGCTGAATTGTGTAGTGCGCGCCAAGTAAATCGAGTCCCCCCCCGGAAGACTTGGACTCCCCTTTTGGCAATCAACGCCCAAAGTGCCCCCTCAGAAATATCAAGCAATGGCGTAAACAAAAAGAATGGCAACGAGGTACTTCAAAGCTAACTTTAAGTCATGAGAAGAAACAACGTGTGTATTTGTGTTTGGCGCCTGAGAATTACGGAGCGTGCGCAGGCCCACCGTGCCAAGAACCCCTTCATCGAGTACGATGCACGCGAGAAGCGGCTCAACCAGGAGGGCTTGGAGCACTCCGTGCGGCGTTGGCACTGGCGGGCCATTTGGGGAGCCGAAGTTGTGCACCCATGCCGTCCCGTTGTTGGGACCACCACCAAGTGTCCCCCCCGCTACAAAAGTTCTTCTGCACTTTCACTGGTGGCCAAGAGGGAAACAAGCCAAAAGCGAGTGCAACATGCTATAACGTGGTATCTAATAAGTGTAAATGGACCCTATTTTCAACATTAAATTGGTTCAACAAGTGGGAAGCAGTCGGACGGACTTCAACACCTCGCGCTTCGCTCTTCGGAAGCGAGGAGCGGAAGTGGCTGCAGGAGGCCCCTGACCACATGGAGCAGCGGCGCACCGACCTGCGGTTAGGCGCCCTGCTGCGGCACCTGGACGTGCGGCGCCTCGTATCGAAAGGGGAGGCGTGGGTTGGTTGCTCCAGTGGTCTCCAAACCACAAAAATCCTTTTGGCTTTAAAAGGAATTCGACCAAGAGTTGAGTTGCTCAAACCAAGGTGCGCAAAAGGACTTGGTCCACTCGATTGTTCCGGGCAACCCGGGACAGGTCTGAGTTGTTTTTCCTTGAAGGAACCGCAAGGGGCGCCAGTTGTCCAGTGACAGTGGTAGAAAAAGAATCGGACTTCTTGGTTGACCAATTTTAGTGCGTCCCGAACCCATTCCATTGTGCAGGCCATTTTCTAGCTTTTGGGCTGCTGGGGTTTTTGGGGTGCAGTGCCTTGGCGACATGAGGAACTGAAACGAGGCTGTGTCCGGTCAAACTCCAGGAGCCTTTTTCAGAGCATGGCCAATTCCCAAATTCGGGTTGAAAACTCAGTTCCACCAAGTGGCAAGCCAAACGGATGGGATTCCTGGAGCCCCTGGGATTCAACCATCACTGAAGCACCGAGACCATGCGAAACGGGAAATGGCAACGGCAGCCAACCAAAACGTGCACTTTCTGTTTCCTGGCCCTGGCATCCTTGAACAATTCCAGGTGTCTTGAGAGAAAACAAGGCCCTGCAGGGTACATTGGAGCCGGATGTGTGGAACAAAGATTTTGAATGTTGACGAGTGTCAAAAGATGGTGGTGCGGTACAACGCCACGAGCAAAGTGACGGTTGAACAGGTGACCAGGTGGTCGGCAATCAGAGCTGAAGAAGCATGCCTCAGCAATGGCAAGATGCAACAGAGAGGGGTGTGCCCTTTTCCGGATGACACGGTAGGCAGTTCATGCCATAGGCAGCACGCCGCCTTCAGATTCCCCTTCTTTTTGCTTAGGAAGAGTTGCTCCAAATGAGACTTGCTGGGACTTGGCCTCAAATTTCCCACTGGCGTTGCGCAGAGGTTCCAACAAGGACTTGGAGGTGCACACAGATCCCATGTCTTAGTCGCCTGAGACAAAATATGTGGATTCCATCAAAGAAAAGAGGCTCAGGCACTGGCCGCAACAGCCACCTGACGTCTTTTGTTTTCAAGGCCGCGCTGTTTGGGATAGATCAACAACCTCTCAGAGCGGAGTGTCCGAGTCCTCGTGGCGAAAATTTCCACCGTTTCCCAAGAAGGCGAACAAATTTGTCCTGGTTTAGGTCAGGAGCAGTGTCAAACACTCTCGCAACATTGATATCCACCGTCAATAGTATCAAACAACGCCAGTCAAAATAGAAAAGCATTCTTTTCGCTTAGTGTGTGTTTTCTTCTTCCAAGATCCCGACTTGACATTTTCAAAGATTTGCAACGCAAGGTTCAAAGGCAGCAGCCAGTCAGTCGGTCAGTCCGTCAGTCAGGCAGGCAGGCAGGCAGCCAGCCAGCCAGCCAGTCAGTCGCTCAGTCAGTTCAAGTCTCTGTCAGGGATGACTCGGATGAGCGCCTCTACGAGAGCCTTGGAACAGTCAGAGCTGAGACCAACGGGCCTAGTTGTTTTCTTGTTTGCCATGGTGCTTCCATGGCTAGGTATTGGCCTTTTGTTGGTGTCATTTGGCCATGGGTCAAAATCCCGTACCCCCGGTGAACATCCCAATCCCCACTAAAACAGACCAAAATGGGTGGTGCACCTACCCCAAAATGGTACCATTGGTTTTAACCCGCAGCCATTGATGCTTTGTGTGTTCATGCTCTGTTGGTGCATTGCACTGTGTCAAGACACACTCGTCGTGTGAGGTTTGGTGTGATGTGCAAAGCTTGGACCCAGTCCACTGTGTCTGCTTTTACGGAACCCCTGGTTGGTTGGTTTTCAAGGGAAACCAAACTTCAAACCGCTTTTGAGACACCCAAGTTGAGATGGTGGGTCAAAATACGTTGAGCTTTGAGCCGATTTGAGGATTTGAGGGGAAGTTTTCGTTTTTGAGGATGTCGCTTGAATGGACCCAAATATGAGGCATTCCAACAAGTTGTGGGATTCTTCCGGGTTGGCAAGAGGAGTTCTTACCTTTCCCGTGTGGTGGAGATACTGTGGATGGTTTCGAAATCCATTTCGCACCGTTCAGAAACCCATTAGAATGATTCGGTTCGCCCTGTAAATACCCACCAGCATTGGTTTCAACCATGGTGTCAAAGTTGTGCAGGATTTCGTCCATCCAGAGTAGGGGCTCAAAGAGTGATTTCCAGTCTGTGAACCATTGCCATGTTTGCCGAATCGTCCGGGTCAGGTGCCTAGCATTTCCAAACACCAGCCCAAAATCTAAATTTGAGGTGGCCTGGGCCTTTGCAGCTGAGTGGTTCAGAGCATTCCACTACCAGCACCCCTCAACGACCGCTGTTTGGACATGAGATGGGGTTGTGTTGAAAAAAGTCGCTGGAGGGTTCTGGTAAAAGTATTTTGTTTGGCTCCAACTGTAAGACTTGTTCAGAGGTGATTTCCCAGAACCCAATTGGTTGATTCCCAAAACACAACTCTGGTCAGGGAAGTCTTGTTCAAAAACCGATGCACCCTAGGTCCGACCTTTTTGAGAATCGACTGTTGTTTTGGTAAATGGATGGGCCACATCAATTTCTGTCCCCAAACTCAGCGATCAGAAGGCCACCACCACTTCGAAACCATGGTTTTTCAACCTCTTTCAATAAATTTGCGGTTGACCCCTCTACCATGGCTGAAACCATAGCGTTTCTCTCGGTATTTGGGGGGATCACGCCCATGAGTGTCCGGTTTGGTTGGTTTGCTTAAGAAGTATAGAGAGCCCTGGTTTAGATAGGTCTTCCATTTACCAGGGCCCTGGTTATTTTTCCAAAAGGCCACCTATCACGGCCCTGAGTTTGAGTGGGGTCTAGGAATCGGACCTTCTACGGGCCCCACTCTATGGCCATGAAGGCCCGGCAGAGGCCGGGGGCGGGAAAGGGGGGGGGCAAAATGTCGCAGCAGGTTTCCTCCGAGAACAAAATGGGGAGGACGAACAACAAGTTCCTGCGGAGCTGTGTCCGGAATTGTGGTGAGAAAAAATGGGTTCCCCAAAGAACCAAAAGGAAATCACCAGAAGAGGCTGTCCGACTCCCAACATGGCAAACACATGGCGTGGGTTTCTTTTCTTGGTTGTCCAACAAAATCCAACCAACAGAGGGTTTCCCAAAAAAAGACACAGACATTATCCATACCTGCCAGGATGTTGGCCGGCTGGGGCGAAGCTGGGGCTTGGCTTGTTGGATGTGTTTGTTGGGTTTGAAGGGAACTTCTCCGTACCGTGTTTTTTTTTTTCATGTCGTTGAGTGGAGCCGAACAACGATGGAATGTGCCAGAGCTTACGACATGCAAGAAGCGGCGTTGGCTAAAGCGGGCGACTCGGCGCAGGCCACGGAAGGAGCCGAAGGAGCCGAAGGAGAAGAAGGAGAAGAAGGAGGCGGCGTGTGGGTCGGGCGTGGGGGTGTGGGTGGGTGGGCGGACTCACTAAGCGTCTCCTGTCGGGTTAATAGGATACTTGGGCAGTGCCTCACAGGTTTCTTTCTTTGAGTTGGCTTTTTGGTTTCGGCACCTCTGATTTGGCGCTTCCTTGCCTGGATTGGCGGCGGGACACCTGATTGGTTTATTGAACGTGTAGCGATGAGGAGCAAGAGACAAGGCATTTGGTTGCACCAAGTGAGATGGACAGATGCACCGCCCAAACATGAAAGTTCTCCTGGTGCAGCCCAACGCAGGAAGCAGGCCCCGCTTGCCAGAACATGAAGCAAGTCTTGGGTGATTGCGGTTTGTTCAACCAGCCATGGTTTGGCTAGGGTCATTTGTAGGGTCGCAAAGAGTGGAGTTGTTTGCTGACTTGGTCCGAAGAAAGGGGAACGCCCAAATAGAACAGGTGCGCCCATTGGGATTCTAGCCCTAAAGATGTTCTTTAGGTTGGTCTTCAAAAGAAAGCCACAGGACCTCCCAACTTTTTTGGATCGCTTGATTTGCGTTGACGGCGATTGAGGGAAACATGACCCAGAGATGCAAACGTTCAGCCCATTCGATCAGACCCCGTTTCAAGCACTGAAATCGTTTGACCAGTGATTGAAAAATGGATGGGTGTGTCTTTCCTAGGGGACCCAATATGGTGGGATTCCCTTGGCGTCCGTGTGAAACCACAAAACATGGTGGCCTTAAAAGAGAAGTTTCAAGTTGCCACATAGGTGTTTTGTTTGTTAGTTTGGCTGAAAATAGCAGGCCCTAGTAAAATTGGCTGAAACATATACCACGGCCATCGATTGTTCCACAAGGACACCTGTGGTTGCCACATGTTGCCACGGTTTGTTGGTTTCAGTGAGGGTGCAAGGTCTGAGGCAAGAACTCGGCTCCAGGCGGGTCGCAAAGCGCAGGCACGCTGTCGGGCACGCTGTCGGGCATCGCCGGTTTTGGAGGGGTCGGTTCCATGGAGCAAAAGCAGGTGCCCCTCACAAGAACATCAGGCACTCTGAGCAATACTTAAATAGTTTTGATGTTTGATTTTTATCTTTCAGGGGTTGACTCGCCCTAGGGTTGTTTCAGGCAATCTTCGGGCTTCGAAGATGCCATTTGGTTTTCAAGCTCCAGGGTGGCTGTGTCCGCCAAAGGGTGACATAAAGAAACAGGGCTGGAAGGCCCTGGACCCCCCCAAGCAAGGAACCCTCATCATAGAAAAGTTGAGGTATGCTCAAGAGTTCTTGGCAAGATGGCTGGGTGTGTCGTTACTCAATTGGAACTGCCTGGTGTACACTCGCAAGTCTGGGATTGGCAAGTTACCACACATGTTTCCGGTCACCAACATGAATTGTTGTCGTTCTGCCTTCCTACCATTCCAGCATACGTTTTGGCTCATTTGGAGAATGAGCCATTGGGAACAAGAGACTGAAGGTGTAACTGATTAAAAGGGGCCAGAATTTGCGGAGGTTCTTGGCATTTAACATGCTGATCCCCCCCCCTTGTTTGCAGGCCCTATGAAATGGGGGTGGCCTCGCCCATGAAGGTTGCGTTCATGCGGAACCCTTATGTTGTGATTGGTGCTTAATCATTCTGATTTGTCTGAGGTTCGATCCTGTCCATGGCCAATTGGGAGCAACAAGGCCTCGCTACATTGCCCACAAAAAGCAATCCCCCCCCAAAAAAAAGAGATGCTTTTCCCCTTGTCCAAAATCCCCTTGGTACTGTCCAAGAAGCAGTTCTTGGTGGGTGCTGCATAGAGCAAGGGCGGGGAGGGTAGGCGTGCTTTTTAAGTGATTTTGGCTAGAAATACACGGCACTGGTTTGGGTTTTATTCCATTGACCAGGGCCATCTATTTTCCCTTTGCACGCTTTCCCGTGGATGCTTTTTCTGCGGGAAGCGGCAGGAGGCCAGGCCGGCGCTGGCGCTGAAGCGTCTCGGTCAGGAGAGGCAAGGGGAGGTGCCGGACGTTTGAACTTTGTGCATTCTGCTTGGATGTTAGGACTTTAACTTTTTGCCAACTAATGGGTTTTCCATTAAACCACTCAAAGTTAAACTTTTTTGCAGGGGAGCAGAAAGCAACCGAGCTTCACTTCCCGACACTCCGGTGTTGGTTCGAACCTCAAGATGATCAAACCACAAGGGTAGAAAGTTGATTGTTGTCTGCAGTGCTCCTCCAGGGCCAATGTGCGACCCTTCGCCGGTTTCCCTTGCAAACATAGCCGGCGGTGAGGAGTTTTGTTGGTCACTATACTCTGTGGCAGGTCTTTTCAGTTGTATGCTTTCTTTGGGGCTCAACGATAGGACGTGAGTTGTCCCTGTGAGTGTTTTCCAGGAAAAGCCATTGCTGATCTGTCAACACGAATTCCCATGGTCAAAACTAAAGACCATTTTCTGCAAGTTTGAATATCCATCAAACCAGCCATGTCAACACCATGGCTGTCAGGGAATCCCCTTCCGGTTCATTCCCAAAACCCTAGGTCACTCCCTACCGAGCAGCAGCAAGAAAAATCGCCCCCCTTTCGACTTCTTTGACCCAAAGAGAGAAGGGGTCACAAAGGTCCGGGGTTTCCGCTTTGCATGCCGTCCACCACATGAGCAGCAACACCACGGGCTCTGTCAGTTTCCCGAAATTCTGGTGCGTGCATAGCTCTGGCTTCCGCGCTTAGAAACAAATCGGATGGATTTTTTGTTTTTTCTCCCGCATGTCTGATTCCCTGAGAACACGGGTTCCCTTAAAGGAAACCAACTCGCATGCGGTTTTTTTCTTTTTTCCCGGGGCGAGCCATTTCTCATGGGAACGCAAGTCTTGAAGTTCCGGCTCTCGGGCGCAAAGCGCAGGAGCTGAAGAGCTCTCTCAGTGAAGAGGCACAGAGGAGCCCGGGAGCCCGGATCGCACGGCTCGCTGTTTGCCCGGGGGTCATTGGCGCCGGGGGGTGGCCCTTGTGTGGGGAAACGCCTTTGGCTGGGAGTAAAGCAAAGACCCAACCCTGGTCGGGAACTCCGACCTGGAACTCTGAGGGGGGGCGGGGAGGTCGGAAGTGGGGCTGGGGGTGAGAGGGTTCTCCTGATTTGGCTAGAAATGAGGGGATGCCCTGAAGTGTAGGAGGCCTCGTGGCAACAAAATCCTTCCTGTACCGAGGTATTCGTGTGTGCGAATTTGGGTTTGAACCCCATCCCACGGGTTGCTTGTTGTTTGAACAGCCCAGAGGAAAACTGAAAGGGGCCCCCGGGGTTCATTCTTTTCTGCACGGGGCGACTCTTTCACAGACATCGACAGACTTTGCTCTTGGTGCGGCCTTGAGCCTCTGAGGCCTTTTGGTAAAAGGAGTGCGTCTTTTTTTGAGGGGGCCCTTTTGGCTGGTTTAAAAGGGACACCAAAAGGAAAAACACCATTTTGAGGGGTCCCCTAGAAAAGACAAACCCAAATGAGTGTTCGCTGACAAGCCAACAGTTATAAGTTATGAACTGACAAAAAAGACTTAGTGCAGGGCTTCAAAGACAAGCCCATCCGAAAAACAATGATGAACAACCAAGCCAGCCCTCCTCCCAAGACCGCCCCCCTTTGGTGAGGGCCTGGTATGGGCAGGTTGTAGGCCATACTGAGCATTAATCGCTGAGGCAGCAGGGGGGGGGTTCCAATTGACAACTCGTTACGATTTGCGCAGATTTGGTGTTTGGGCCACTTTTTGTTAATACCAAAGGGAATTCCTTTCAAAGTGAACAGTTGGGAATTCACCACTCAACGGTATCACAGATTAGGGACCCTTTGTCACAACCACGTTCATACATCTTCTGGAAACGTTGAGCGACGGCGAAAGCCCAGCATCAGAGGGACGGCTTCCGGGATGTTCGGAACACGAGCATGGACCTGTAGCCCCATTTGTGACAACCAAAACTACCAGGCAAAGGCACAAACATCTTTCTCAGACCCCGTTTTTGAAACAGAGTCAAGCCTGATGAACTAAGAAGGCCACCGTATTCCCTACCAGCTCTTTCAGGCGATGTCAACAGGTTCTCGCCAAATGTGTCCAAAGGGGGCAGACAGCTCGAGGCTTGTCCAGCGCAGGCCTAAAAGGATTATATGGGTATGGGTCAAAATGAAGCCGCCATGGGCCGCAGGTTTTAGTCCATGTCTCCATTTGCGGGGTTCCATTTTGGGACCCATTTTTGACCCACAGCCATATGCGACGCACCGTTGGGTCTCCATAGTATTCCTTCTCGTTCCAACGTCCGAGGCTTCAGAGATGCATCCAGGATCGGCTCCCGTGTCTCAGCTGCTCTGCACCGCATGGCTGCAGGTGTTGGTTGTTGTTTCCCCATATACCAAGGTGCCGCTTTGGGGATTCCATTTTCTTGAGCCACAGCCCCGGGCTCCCCTTTGTTTTGGTGGGCTTGCCACTGAAAATGGTCAACCTCAGTGAGGCCCTCTTTTGCTACCAAGGGTCACCGGACTGAGCAATTGGGACGCCAAGCTGAAACCAGATACACCGGAACTCTGACCTGGATCGTTTCCCTCAAAGTTTGTCCCGGAAGGGCAGGCTGCCTTTCATTTTCAATTGCTTTCGTTCAGATTCAACTTTCGCTTGGCAGCCCCGATGAGAAACGGGAGAAACGACATCTTTGGCTACAAGGTCAGGCATGCATTCCATGAGACTAGTGCATATTGCCAGTCCTCCGCGAGAATGGAGAAGAACAAACTTATCCCTACACGAAGCAGGGTACTGGTTGACGGATTCGTTTGCTCGGATTCTAACAATGTACCCAAAGATGCAACGGGGGTCCTGGAAGACCGGGTAAATGATGTCCACGTCCATGTCCCGAAGCTGCCAGGATAGAGCGCAGCGAGGCATCCAAAGAGAAGGAGTCTCGCTGCAGGCGGATCACGGAGTCGGAGTCGATGTCGCTTTGCCTGGTGTGCCTTTGGACAGTTCAGGTAACCCCTAGTTGGTGGTTTGGACTGATGGCAACCACTAAACCACTAATCCAAGCCATCAATGAGAGGAAATCTGAAGAATGTCTCTTTGGGGTTGAGAATCAAACTTGAAGGGCTTGGGTTGAAGGAATGACCCAGGTGGATTTGTGGGGCGCAACCGTATCCAAACACTAGACTTCGAATTCAGCAACACGCCCAAGGAGTTGGATTGCTCGGCCAGAGCTCTGCTCTAGCTGTCCCAGCGCCACTTTTCCCATGTCCAGGTTGGGGGATTTTGTTGCATACCCGGTACCGCATGGCTTGAAACTTGTGCTCGCAAAACGCAAGCCGAACCCTTTTTGCGTGCCCGTAAGGTGACAGGCACCTTGCAAAAGGGAGGGGGGGGGGTTGATTCGAACCATCTCTTTGGATCGATTCGGCCTGTATATGCATCGTTGCAAGACAGAGAAGTGTAAGTGCGCCCAATAGGATGTGGGTCCCTTCAAACTGGGGGGGGGTATTTGAAGCCATATGTGTGTGACGGGTGAAAGGCAGAAGGGATAATCTGCATCGTCAAAAGGCCAGTGATTGGAGAGCGGAAGGCGGAAAGCACAAGACATGAGGAAAGACTCTGCGAAGCCAAAGCGTGTTGAACATTCTGTGCCCACGACAGGTCGTCAAAATGCAACTGGTGTTGACGACTCCCACGTGTTTGTTTGGCCCCCCCCATAAAAAAACAAAGGGAACATCAAAATGTGTGGAAGCCAACTTTTTGGCCGCCCACATGTTGTGTAGGGACAAAGGAGTACGCCTTCATGAAGTACAACTTGCAAATCGATCAAACCATCGCCGATGGCCATCCGACCCGAAGAGATGAGGGAGGCAAAAAAGGAAAGAACGCCTCTTGTTTTTTTTGGGGGGCGGGCCTCCCTTGTTTTGAGACAAGACCTTAAATGAATCTACCTCCTGGAGGCGATGTTTTTTTTTGCTAGGGGTGGCTCGCAGCTTAGCAAGGGCTCCAAGGCTGGTTGGTTGGTTGGTTGGTTGGTTGGTTGGTTGGTTGGTTGGTTGGTTGGTTGGTTGGTTGGTTGGTTGGTTGGTTGGTTGGTTGGTTGGTCGCAAACCAGCAAAAATACAAATAACACCGCCGCTTCAGCAACAGTAAGCACAGCTGAAACAAGCCCCAAAGCCTGACGCAAGCCAGCCCGAAGCCACCCCCAAGTTTACCCAAGTTCAACCATAAGCAGCTAAGCTCAAAAAACAACGGAGGGTAATTGTTTTAAGGTTGATTTTTTTTTTCAGGAGAGGTGGCTTTTCGGCTTCTTGGCATTTGTGGCATTTGCGTGGGTTTATGTGCTTTTTACCTTGCTGGAGAGGAACTGATGATGCTGGGGATGTTGGCTGGACACGGGGGGATGTTGAAAGCGATGCTGATGATGTTAACGGGCTAGTGGATCAGGGGCAGACTGAGCCCGGCGATGCTAGGGATGTTGCCCCCGCCCTCCTCTTTTGGTCACAGTCACGGTGCTCACATCCAGCCACTTCTTGTAGCGAGCCACTCCTAACAAAAGCCACAAAAAAAAAGCGTCGCGACCCTACCTCACCCATGGCAGGCTGCTCGCCAACTTTGCACGTGGAGTTGAGGCGAGTGGGGGGAGGTCTAGCGCCAGGGACCTTGCCAACGGTCGCAGGGTCGGTCCCGCCTTCTCTCCCATCCTTTTGCGCCAGTAGATTTTCTCACGTGTCACTGACGTGCACTCAGCGAGATTTGGCCATGGGCTTGGAAGGCCAGACTATATGTGTTTTAGTGCCAAATTGAACAAGCTCCCTGGGGTCGGCCAGAAATGTGCATTGTGTGATGCACTGCAAGGGGAGGTGGGTGGTGTTGGCTCAGCACCAGGGATTAGACAGTCGTAAAGGAGCTGGCAAAGCACATGGAAATTGTTCTGGGTATAAGCTGGACGCAGGCGGGCAATGGGAATTCAGGCAACAAGAAGAATGACAAAGTCGGGGCTGACAAGAAGCCGAATTGGGATTGCCTGTGCTCAACTGACCAAAGCAATGCTGCTGAACATTCCCCCAGGGTTTAGTGGAGGCAAAGTGGCAGTGTGTGTGTCCTCTCTCTCCCTGAGTTCCTAGACTTTGAAGGCCATATTTTCATGGCAAGCAAACAGCTTGGTTTCCTTTTTTGGCCAGTGTCAGGAAGGAGACCTTCCTTCCGAAGGCACGAAAGACTGTCCCTGGCCTTCTTGAGGCCTGAGAGTGTCATCTGACGGGCCGATGAGCTTCCCAAAACGTCGCGGACGCTTGGCACCAGTGGTTGTTGTTTACGTCTCTAGGGATGTGCACACTGTTGTGTCTGTGTGTGTTTCTGCTGTTATTTGTTTTTGCATGATTCAAAATGCAATCCGCAATTTGAGGTGACGTCGTGTCATGTTGGAGTGCTCTTGCAATAAGTACAATTGAGTAAGTCAAAATAGCACACAGTTCGTTTGGCGTGTGCCATTTGGGACGCCACCTAGTTCTCTTGCTTGTTGCCGCAATCGCGGCCAAAACTCCTTTTTGCTCCCAGCGGCTAAGCCGTGCGGCTCGAGACGCGCCGTCAAATGGCATGAGAACGAAAAGCGATCATGCCCGGAGCATAGTTGTGGGAAATAAGACTGTTTCACTGTTGTTGGCATGTGTTTAGTTGGGGTTGGTTGGCATTTAATGTTGGTTCTGTTCATTTTTGGCACGGGGCTGCAAAAACACAAAGAAGTTGCTCCCATACCAAGACTCTTTACTTTGATGCCAACCCTCTACACAAAATGACAGTGTGCTTGTTGTGGTTTCCTCCGAACGGAAGGCTTGCTTTCCACAACCATGTGGCGCGACTAGAGGGTTTCCCCTCGACTCAAGTTGAAACGGGTGAGGGCCCGGTGTCATTCTGGTTTCCCGTCAGTCCAACCTATTAAAGGGCTCCCCGATAGGACGGAATGGGTTGCTTTGCTGAAGGTTCGAATCTGGGAATTGGTCCAGCCGAGATGAGACTAAGACAGGGCCATGGACCACCCGACCCACAGGTTTGATACTTGTACAGATTGCAGTCGGCGCTGGCGCATCGTGCTGCTTCCTATGCAGAACGCATGCAGGTTCGTGCACGATGCCTAGAGATCGATAGATCGATACGCTTCTCCCACACTCGATTTGCTGCTTGTGGGTTGAACAGCACCATCTTTGTTGAAAGGAGGAAATATAGGGAACCCGTTTGCCGATCGCGGAGTTGCGGAGTCGCTGGGCAACTCGAATTGAGGCAAGTCTCGTGTTGGTTCGAGCCGAGTGCCGGGTGAAAGGAAGCAAAGTCGTGTCTCTCGATCTTCGGAGCGCGAAGTTGAAAATATCCGAAGGGCACGGGGGAAACCACCAGGAATGGATCACAGGTAGTCCATGTCGCCATTTTCCAGGGCAAGCCATTTAGGGTTACCCATTTTTGAACGGAACACATTTTCTTCACGGAGCTCTTGTAAAGCGAGGGGACCAGCAAGGTTTCTCAGGGATTCAACCTCCAAATTCGCGGAATCGAGATTCCCAATTCCAGATCTTGCTGTCCATTTCGGGCATCCTTCGTTGATGCACCTAAACCGACTCACAAGTTTGCTCGTGTACACGTTAACAATTTGAGGCTCGGTCACACTTTCCGGTCGTTCCTCAACCCAAATATGGAACTCCCTACATACCTTAGGGGTACCAAATTGTGGCCGCTCTATCCCCGATTTCCCAAGAAAGCGGCTGCAGCACCAGCTTTTGGAAAGGTTGACGGGGATAAGAGAAACGTGAGTAGGTTGCATGCTTATGGTGAGTAGTGTGCGAATGTGAATTGTGCTGTATACAGAATGTATGGATAACGTAAGGGAAAGGCTCCAACTCTACACAACTTCTAGAAACCAAACTGTTGCCTTCAGTTGTCGACCAGCAACTTTGCTGTTGCCCGCGCCTTTTTCTTGGCATGCATCCAAAGATAATCTGAAGCCCTCAATGAGAAGAACGCCCAAGAGGGCGAACGGAGCGATGAAAACACTGTAAATTGTCAACCTATCCACTTTGGCTCATTGTAAAATAGTGCCCGGACTTTTGGAAGGCATTTGCACGTGGAAGAGATCGCAACATTACAGTCATCTTGATATCCTGTCTACAGTACAGCTGCTGATGTTCAACAGGTTTTGCATTAGACCTGCGATTACGACGTTTGTGGGGAATGATCCCTGTCCCTTCTTTTCATGATCGCAAGACAGATCGGCACGCTGACCCCTAGCAGTTGTTTGCAGGTGTCATTTTTGGTTCTTTTGCTAGAAAATAGATGGCGATTTCTGGTCGACCGGGTTGTTTTATCTACCAGGGAAATCCATCGATGTTCAACCAAAAGGAGACCTATGCTTGCAGGGCTTCTTCCTTGGCATCCCTCAACATCTTTGCTGAAAGTTCCCGGTGACTCATGGACATGGCCCGTTTAAGATGACCTTGTCTTGGATTCTCTTAACCAGCCTGTGTTGCACCCTGCCCTTAGATCTTGGTTGCACAATGGGTGTGTGTGCCAGAAGGGGTGGACACTCAGCACAAAGCCTTGCAAAGGGTTTCCACAAAGCCATACAAGCTGAATATATCCGAATCCATGACTTTGAGACGACTGAATGTTGGTAAGAAATTTGGGGAGAGGGCGTTGTATTTATGCAATAAAGGCCTCTCGCTTCCTTAGAACTTGTCCTACCCCAAAGCACTCCCTCAAAAACCAAAAGGAAACAACTTCCGGCATTGTCTATTTTGGGCTTTTTCTACGGGTGTGTGTTTGCAGGGTGTTTGGGGACCCTTCAGGGGTGAGTGATTTGGGGAAGCATGTTCGTGGTACCCGTCCGCAGCTTATTGGTTCGCTGGCGGGGGAAGCGAACGCCGTGAGTCGGATGCCTAGCACGCTGATCTGGCCAAGGAAGGTCGAGTTGGGATCTGGGTATTAGTCCATATGGGTGGCTCTTGTCTGAAAGGGTTCCAACCCCAAAATGGCGCAACGGCTTTCCTTTTGGCTTCCCTTCTACGCACAAAAAGGGGGGGGGTACGAGGGTACGAGGGTACGAACTCCAAAAACAACCAGCCACCCTATAGCACGGGAAAAGGAATCAGATTCACATCTCGACAATCTAGGCTACGGATCCCGCTAGTTCGGTTGCAAGCGGCCTAAAGGCACACGATACAGCGGATGCCCCGCTCGAAATCCATATTGCGCACGCGAAGCAACCGCAAATGGTTGGGCTTCCAACTTGTTTCCTGCTTGCAAAAAAAGGGCATCCAAGTAAACCAACCAGAAAACATGGTTGGATTTCCGTTGGAATCCACCATAGCAAAAGAGTCGCGGTTGGTGCTTCCTGCCATGTTTTTAAAATTACGGCCGCGGATCTTCACCTCTGGTCTTGCAACCGTTCTTGGACGTGCCAGTTTTGTTGCATTGTCCTGTGATATGCTGCATATGCTTGTTGACCTACCACTTCAAAAGAGGCCCTAACTTCGAAACGGGTTCCGATTCGAAACTGAGCTTACATGGGGTCAGGGCCTGAAAGTTCTGAATTAGGGACCGCTGCCACATGCTTAAAACAGTGGGACCTCTCAGCACTTCGGGCTGCCACATGAGCACCAAAGAAAGCTAGGATGAGTCCAACGTATGCTCAGTCATCCAAAGCCGACCTTTTTCCCGATTGGTTTTCCCATAACGGCCCATTTTTAGTCAATGTCCTGATAACGCGTGCGTCCTTTGGGCAACTGAGTATGCAAGCGAGAGCAGCGAAGGAGGCTTTGGATGGTTGCGAGGGCTTCCAGTTGAAGCGGGCCGAAATCCCGGCCAGTTGAACATGCAGCTGCGCTGTATTGCGCTGTCGGGTGGTTTCCGAAAGGAAATGGTGCGTTCCTTCTTGGTAACTGAGACACTGAGTTTCTTAGCAATCCTTTTGGGTTTGTTGTTTGAGGGTACCCTTGTTGGATGCTTGTACAGGAAAGCCACCAGTTGTTTTTGTTTTGGGGGGGGGTCCCCTAAAAGCGACACCTTTTTGGGGCAACGAACCCCTTTGTCCAATTACGAAATTGCGAAACTGAGTTTCTTCATCTCATCCCTTTTGAATATGACCCCGTGTCGACAGTCGGCGGTATCGATTTCTCAGGGGCATTCAGGTTCCGCAGAAGTCAGAAGGGGAACCCATCAATGTATGTTTGTCCCAACATGCGGCTGGCAAGGTTTCTCAGATAAGGTCTCACCCCCCCGCGATGCCAGCGAGGGTCTAAGTAAGTTTTGTAAGTGTGTGCAGAATGGGCATAGCATCCTGAGACCTCATTGGATTTTCAGCCCAGTTTATAAGTACATTCTAGGTATGCTTACAAGGTCGGACCAACGACCATTGGTTGTAAGCTACCAAGTGGATTCAACACGTTCCAGCAGGGGTCCTTCAAGAATTCATCCAACACCCTCCTGGTTGACGGATCCTTTGAAGTCGATGCTTTCACTGGCCCAGAGTTGCCCTGGTGATGACTTGTTGATTGAACTATTAATTTATATATATATATATATATTGAACAACTGATTCACGGGTTTTTGCAAAATATACAAACTGATTTCCGAGTTTTCACAAAATCTACGAAGCAAATTAATGTCCAATGCCCAGCCAGCAGAACAGGGTTGGGTTGTTTTCGTCCGCTTCCCTTTCTGGTGTTCTTCCCGCAGGCCTGAACCACTCCTTCCGCGATTCGAGATGTGCTTTGATCTCTGGTGGGATTTACGTTTGATTTGTCAGTTGTGCTTGTTGGCCCTTGCGGTTTTAGGAGACCTCTTTGGGAAGGCAGTGAAACACGCAGGTCGGAGCTACGACAAAGAGCAATAGGTCCGTTCCAAAGCCGGATCAAGACGCGCTGTAGGCAACCACGAAAGCCAAAGACACATGTTCAGGAAGTTCTGGGAATTAGACACGGTCTCATCAAGTACCAGGTTTTAAGCAAAAAATATGTAAACAAGTCCTGGAGCTAGTCTTGACAAAACACTTTGCAAGCTCAAGAGCAACTTGCTGCTCACCCACCTTTTCGCTGCTTGTACAGGGGAAGACGTGGGAAACAGTCTTTTTCCAGCCCAGAGAATGGCCCCACAAACCACCACAAACCACCACAAACCACCATAAACCACCACAAACCACCACAAACCACCACAAACCACCACAAACCACCACAAACCACCACAAACCACCACAAACCACCACAAACCACGTAAACTCACGCTTTAAGCACGTGCCATAGGTTGCTTTGAAAACCATGTCCGTTGCCCAGCTCAGGCAGCGATGGCTGAGATCATCCACAGGGAGCCGCCGCTTGGGCAAATGAAAGGCATCGATCCGAGCAGTGAGTTGGCTTCTTCTTCCGAATGTCTCACCTCTGCTATATAGGGGATTGTAGCGGAGCTATGAGGGTGTTTCTTGTGTCTCTGGGATATGAGAGATTTACTTAGCAAATCCAAAAACCATCCAAACAAAAGGGAAGGTAATTATGTACACAACACAAAGGCTCGTGTTTCTCAAAGTCAGGAGCCCCTCCACGGTGAAGACCGGGAAGCAGTCGGTTCGGACTCGCGGACCAGGGTTTTGGACTCTCGCTTTTTAGGCGAGATATTGTTGGGGAAGGTTTGCTCACTGGCTTTGAGTCTTGGCGTTTTTGCCATGAACAGGACGAGCCCTTCCAGGCGGTCAGCAGCATAGCAACGATTCTTGGGGCCTGGATGAAATGCCGCTAGCTCCCCCTTGTGTGAATCAGAACTGGCAGAAGAGAACTTGGAGTCAAAGGATGCGAACCTTGTGGTGGCGATGTTCGCCGGGCCCGGCTCTCCTTTTCCCGAGGCCCTGGCAGGTGAACAAATGCGCCCAGGGCATGTACTACTACAATGAGGCTGGACCCGAGAAGCGCTCTTGAGCGAAAAGGGTTTCGAAGAGGTGGCCCCCAAAGTACGCCGGCCCATGCATTTAAGTGCAAATGTACTAGCTGTGTGTGCCTTTTCTTGACGACCAACAAGACACATGTCAACTTCAGATGTATCGGGACGACGGTATTCGTTAGAGGGCAGCCGCAAAGGTTGACCATTTCCGCACCAAACCGGGTCCGAAGGCTTTGTTGATCCGAAGTTTTCTCAGAAGCTTTCCACATTGTGGAACCATGTCAAGGTGTGTATGATGAACATCCAGTGTGACCTTGCAACGATGATTCAGACAATTGCTCCCTGGAACGCATGCAAGCGACGGAGGTGTGGATGTGCCTACTTTACTCTTTTGCCTCTTTGAGGGTGTCCATCATTGTTCCCTTGACCGGAACCGTGAAAATTGGAATGGCACAAAGGTCAGCTGTGCTTGCGAAACTTCTCCGAGCTTTGGATGCGGCGGGGGCCTCTCAAAGGTTTCGATTTCATCAGTCCAAAGGGTCGGGCTTACTTCCATTCGCTGAAGGTGTTGTGTAATTTTTCTCTGAAGGGAATCGATCATGACCACAATAGCTAGATTTACATGAGTTTCGTGGCACCTTGGGGGCAACTAGAAGCATAGTCTGTGGCAGGAAACTGCAGATGACCAGGACAAAGCCTAACCTGGATCTCGTTCATTTCCTCAGATCGAAAAGGAACTGGTTCTGACTGGCCTTTTGCCTCGGACCAATCGTCTACCCGTGTGACAGGTTTTATTATGTTTTACTCCATCTAGATTCTAGAATTCTCTCAAAGCTGTTGATGCGACATGGGAGTTGGACTGATGGAAACTTCAACCGCACAAGGACCGAAAGTCCAAAATCCCCAGCCGATTTCCCAAGGTTGCTGTATTCGGCATTTCCTTGGATTGCCAAAGTTGCCACCTTTTTAAACCGGTTTCGGAGGGCCCACGCCAAAAGCTTGGCCGAGAGAGAATGTCTGATCCGATACTGTTAATCATAAGAATGAGGCGATCATGCAAAGCCACATTCCCCCCACCCCAAAGAACAAGTAAATACCACACACATGGTTTCCCCCCAGTAAAAAAGAAAAAAGGAAAATCAACTCACAAAAAAAGGCTTGATTCTCCCCCCCCCCCCCCAAAAAAAAAAGAAAGAAAGAAAAGAAGCAAAAAAACGACAAAGTAAGACAAACAGCACCTTGTCTCTGCCCCACCCCCCACCCCTTTCCCGGCCCCCCAAAAAGAGAACATGAAAATAAAGAAGAAAGAAGCAAGACAAACTCATTCAGAATGCAGCGCCGAGTGGTCGGAGTTGACTCGGCGGTCGGCTCGGTTCTCGGCGACTCGTTTCGAAGGCCACCGCGGAGTCCACCTGGACACAGCCCCGGGAGCTGGAGGGCTGGCAGCAGCGCCAGGCGAGTTTTTGAGCGGTCGGATAATTAGGGGGGGGTTGCATAGGGGGCATCCGGTGCATAGGGCGGCTTCTTTTGCCTCAGGCTTTTTTCAGGGAACCATCAGGGAACCCTAGAGGACCTCAAGGAACCCGAAAGCGGCTCTTAGCAAAACCCCCGATATTCAGAAACTGGGCTTGATTCATCTCACCATTACGGTTGATGCCACGTAGACCAGCCACAAACCATGGTTGAATCGACTTCGAATTCTGGCTTGTTTCCTACTTCAATCTTAGATGGTTGTTTGCTTTGGTGGGAACGGGATTGGAACCCTACCTTTTGACACATGAGGAAGATACCCAACATCCAAACCACGAAACCAAACCATGGCAGTCTTGGTGCCTGAGACAGCGCGGCTTGCGACGCCGTGTTTGTTGCTGACATCTATGGTTTGCTTTGCAGTGCTCGTATTGGCCCCAGTCGCACTGGCAACTCCAAAGAGTGCTGGGACGAGTTTCGTGCCCTATGCCTTGATCCGCATTGGGCGCAATACGAGATTCACCAGCTGCACCATCGGTTTTCCCGTCAAAAGTGGTCTTAAACATCATTTGTTGCAAAACATGCTCACCAAACGGGGACAAAGCTCAGGACCCATGATGAATGTCCTGTTCTCTGGGCGAATTCTTATTCCTGGAGACTTATAATTTGGGAGTGTCTTGTTTTGGAGTTGGCACCCCATTTTGTGCTGGTTAAGCCAAACCAAAATAAGCCCAACAAAAAGACCGCCATGTCTGCAGATGTGTGGATCTTGTTGAGAAGCCGAAGCATCGCCTTTCGGCAGGCAAAGCCACGCCTGGCATCTCTTGCATCGGACACAGCAAAAATGTTATTCTTGTCGTATTGAACAAGGCGTCCCTGGCGTCCCTGGTTTCAGACCAAATCCGCTGGTTCTTTGCTCTATTGTTGGACAACGGGGCAAATTTGCAAGGGAGGTTTGCAGGCGGAGAAGGTCATCTCCCTTGATCGGACACACGGCTGCCCTCCTCCAACCAACTTGGGTGTTTTCTCGGTGCACTTCGACCCAACTCGGTACAAGCAGATGAGGGACTGGCAATACTCTCGTGCTTGCGGGATGTAAGAGTCGCGCACATTGTGTTGGACAATCACGAAGCCTGGTAAAACGATAAGGTGCAAAAAAACGATAAGGTTTTTGGGTGTTTCCATGTAGGCGCAAACCCCGGTAAAACGATAAGGTGCAAAGAAAAACGATAAGATAAACTAATGTGTAAAACGATAAACTTTGACGCAAACCGATAAGGAAACAAATGTGCAGCCCATTTCAATTGAGGTTTTGCCGCGGCCTCAGATGTTGACCGGGGTGTGTCTGAACATAGGGGACCCCAAGTAGCTGGTTTCTTCTTGGTTTCCCCAAAAAACACGTCCAACAACGGGGTCCCCGATTTTGCGACGACCCTCCAGACCTGGGGCCTCATTCCGCCAGGCCGCGGCTGCGCCCGGTGCGCCCGCGCCGGCGCCGGCGGCGACGCCGGCCCCACAGGTCCGGGGAGAGACGGACTGTCGTGTCCTTCGGTGGCTGTGCGGATTGTGCGGATTGCCCACTTTTCGGTTGTTTCACACGTCACCTGTTTTGGACAGGCTTTGGCGGGGTGGGTGGGTGGGTGGGCGGGTGGGTTGGCTTGTGGAGGCGACGTGGCTGCCCCAGATCCCCAAATAGAGCTTTGTTGCCCCAGAGAGCTCGAGCGGATGACTCTCGTGAAATCGGCCTTTCCAACAGATGTTGTTCGCAACCACCTTTCCAGGGGAAATACAATGACTCCTAACCCCAAAGGCTTTGGTCTTCCATTTTTCCTCGCAAGTTCCCTTAAAAGTCAAAAGAGAGTAGGGGGATCGCGGCTCGGTCCAATATAAGACCTCATTCAGTCCTCGATTTGGGGATAACCCGAATTCTGATACAACGCTTGGCTCAGTATGGCTGCTGGTCATCCATTGTGAATACAAGAAATGCTAATGGGGTGCCAGCTGGCCACTTTTGGCGTTCTTTTCAGCATCACCCTTAACATCCCCAGCATCACTTGTACCATTTTCAGCATCACCTTTGCAGCCATGCAATTATAACTGTGACATGTAAGAGAAGGTGTTCCTGCAAGTTGGCAACAGGACCGGTGCCGAGGATGGAATGCATTACCTTGTCCACCACCCCATGGCAGGGATGTCAGCTTGAACGATTGTTCTGTGCACATTAGCCAACGGAATCACAGGAATCCGGTAATCCCATGGCGTGGATTCGACCCTGACACCCCTACTTGCATGTTCGTTGCCAAGTTGGTAGGTGGTTAGCCACTTGGGGCTTTTCACCACCCAAAGAACCAGGAATTAACCTACTTGGGGGACTTATAAGTGGGTTCTAGCCTAGCCTTTGTCGTAGCTATCTGGGGGCCTGCTCTTTGGATCAATGGCCGTATGTCTGACTGGCCGTAGGGGGGTTCTTCTGTCGGTGTGCCCGTGGAGGGAACCCGGATCACCTTTTGGGACAAGCTGAAAGTAATAGCATGTCTTTTCTGTTCACCATCTCTCGCCTACGAATACAGATGCAACTGCGAGTGGAAACGAAAGAACAGAGAGATGACCAAGAAGAATTCAAGTAAAAATATTCCATAACGAGAGAGCGAGTGCAGGGTGCAGTGAAGGCCCTAAGCTCGTGGTTTTTCCCCCCATCCGGGGGAACAACTCGAGTCTAGGCGCACCCTTACCCGGGTGCTCCAGGCCCAGGCGGGCTGCTCTGGCTTGGTTTGGCGCGGGCGGGGAAAGTGGGCGCTTTTGCACCTGGCCATCGGGCAACCGAAATGGGAGTGCTCCCTCAGATTCATCATGGAAGCTCCCAGAACAGCCCCCCATTAGAATCGAAGCGGGATGGGAGGATCTGGCGCCGGGGCCTTCCGCCTGGGAAGCCATCGTAGGCGGTGAGCAGCCGCCGCCGCACTATCCGCCCATGCACCCACCAGGCTGGGCAGTTTGCCTTTTTTTCTTCTGCAGGCATGTCCTTGTTTGAAGCTTTCTCGGCAATTGTTGTTTGTTTCGGGAACACCGCTTCAAGTTTCAACCCTACAAACCTGTCTTTGTACCTTGGCATGGTTTTTGTTTCGGGAAAACTGGGAAACCACCCATCTTCGACACAAACAAACCCTTGATAGCCGCTAGCCATGTGCTGAAGCTCCATATGGCCATGGGTCAAAATCCCGTACCCTCAGTGAACATCCCAATCCAATAATAGGGATCCAAAACGGTTTTGACAACCACAGCCATATGGATCCTGAGATCCAAAGCGGAAGTCAGGAGACCCAGCGCAGGGCTACCCGCACCTGCCGCCTGGCCCGGGCACCCAGGCACCGGGCCAGAGTTGCTGCTTGTCTTTTCGGTTTCCGGTTACCCTCTGGGTTTCCCTTTAACACCCACAAAACTGGGGCACCCTCAAAAAAGACACATCCCATTTTGACCATGATGCGACAATGTGTACAAGTCTTTCATCTACCCGTACAAGACGGGCTTAAAGGGATCCCTCAGAATGCTGGTCTTTTTCAATTTGAGCCCATGCGTGGTCGCAATATGCTTTTACCTTTGAACCTATTCGCAGACACACACACACACAACGA